GCTTAGTCTTGTTGCCGATGTCTTTCCTTATGCTCAATTGCCCTCTTGCCATCGAGTAAGCAAACAACACGAGTGAGGAGTGGTGGTTTATTGAATAAGTAAATATTATTGTTGATAATTTATGTAAATAGATATAGATACCTTAATTCGTGGCACTGTGCCATGCATATATGTATGCATACGAGTATAAGAAATATTTGAAACAGTGATTGGCGTGTGATCTTTCGGCAAGGTCGAAAGGCTTTGGATTATCGGCGAATGTGATGTGAACTGAATATATTATGTATGAACATTTGTGTAAGTACTTTCAGAAATAATGCAATTCGATTGCAATAGCAGTTTCAAAATTTATTTCCACTTAATTAGGCGGCAAACTCGCCAAAAAAAATATTTAAACATAATTAAAAAAATTGTAGATATTTTTATTTTCAAATCAAAAATTCAATATAAAAAATAGTTTTATGAAAAGAAAAAATTTAAGAAAAATACTTATTAGTCACACTTTTGCTTGGTAAATGGAATTATGGAAATACATATACATATTGTATATGCAAACATATATACAATTTATGTGCTTGACAATATGAGACTAAAAGCACGCTACAAATGAATGACAAGAGCATAAAAATTACTTGCAAATTACGACCATTCAACGCTCATAACTTCAATACAAACAAAAACAGCAGAAGATAAATGAATAAAAAGTTAAAAAAACCAGCAAAGGTGAGTTGTAATTTTATGGTGAATTTCGTCTAAAAGCGACGAGACACTAAGCCGGCGTGTCATTAAAGCATGTTACCGGCTTCCCCCTACACGCGCCCTTATTCCACCGTTATTATATTTTTTGTTATAGATTTATATGAAAGTTTCCAAATCCAATTGAAAATACCATTACATAAAAAATTTGGAACACGTGTTGGTTTTTTGCAACCAAATTTATTACTAGAGTTTGGAATTTTTGTGTTTTTTTTTTCCTATCAAAACAAAGGACACATAAAATTTTTGCACAAGATATTTTACACATATTGGCATACCATTGAAACTGAAATGCGCCCAACAGCATTTGGCTTTAAATTGGTCTCATTTTATGACAATTGTGCTCGCTATTGCAGCCAACCCCGCTGGGTAATGCCGCCGCGCGTTCCATTTGACAGTTTATTTGGTATTTTCCGTATGCTATTGTATAAATGTATGTGCAAGACACAATAAAAGAATTGTGCATTCAAATAAATGACCAACTCATGCCTTATGGTTATTCCAACCACATTAGCAGCACAGCTGGAGGAGCAAATATGCAGCTTACGAGCTTAGGTGGCGTAATAAGAGCACTTGCGCAAGTAAAAGTGAAACAGTTCAGACACTGATGCAGTCTTATTATTGTAAATATGTACATATATGTGATTGTGTAAAAGCTGTGGACACACTTGCTTTCAATTGCCCTCACAGCTACATGGGCAATTAATTTTTACCGCGTCACGTTGCTGTTCCTTTTGCTCTAATGTAGCACATAAAATGCGAAAAGGAAAAAAGAAAAAAGAATAAATAACTGAAATATTTGCATGGAATTGAAATGATTATAATAATTTTTTCATTAATAAATTTTTATTAAAAATAAAATAATAATATTTTAAAACTTAACATCAGAAATACGCTTAAATCGTAATTCTTTATAAAATCTAAGCTAACAAATTGCAACCCAGAGTACAACCTAAAGAGCGACAATGCCGACGAGTAACAGAGCCACCAGCTGTTTGATGAACAAATTGCTCGCTGCAAAAAGGAAAAGCAACACGTCTGGAATTCACCTAAATAAATGCTATTATTATTTGATTTTAAAATCAAACTAAACTCGACTCCTTGTTAAGAGAAAACGTGAAGTGTGATCAACACTCGTGAAATTAAAAAAAAATTCATGAACGGAAGTCGACTTGTAGTCATAAACAAAAGACTGCGTCACGTTTGCATTTTATTAATATGATAATTTGCAAGGATGCCTAATACCCACCACTTGACATCCATTAAAAAAGTTGAAGTAGTTGCACTCTATGCAGACCTCTTAATACGTTTCCTTTCGTTTTTTTCCCTTTTCTTTCGTGAATTCGAGTTGAAATTGAAAACGGAAATGTCGTTTTTGTTTGTTGTTGCAATTAATATGCAAATTGCAGGTCATACTACAAATGAAGACGCGTTGGGGGATTCACGGTGAACTGGGAACGGAAGTGATTTTTGTGCTCAACACTTATAAAGGCCTGCATCCACTTTTATTTATGTGCTTATGTATGTGCTTATATTATTATGTGCATGAACGCGTGCATTCACCACCAGTGCATATATTGAAAGGGTTCAAAATACAAAACTAAAATTCACTATTTACTTGCATTGTGCACGAACACTGTCTCCCCATTTTCTCCCCATTTTCTTCTCATTGACAGAACTTTTTTGGTAGTGCTAAATTTGATTGCTAATAAATCACTAAAAGTTAATCTTCCTCTCTATAAAATACCATTAAAATGGAGAAAAATTGTTTTTTTTTTGTTTTTGTAATTTTGTAAAAGCATGGAAAATTCTAAAACTTCTAAAAAAAGCGCTTCAAAGTAACTGATGTTTCTGGATTAAAGATTACACGCTGGTGCGGGGGTTAATATTCCCTGCCGAGAGGCGACCGCAATTAGAAAACGTAACTTAATTTTTTATTCAAATTAATTTTCTATAACTTTTTGGATGTTAGTGCGATGCCAGAATTTGAACTCTGGCCTTTCGAATGGCAGTGCGCAATGCTGACCATTCGGCTACCGTTGCCGCCGATCACCACCATACCTCTAAAATATTCCCCTAAAGTATTGCAATGCTGAAATAGTCCTAAACTAATCCTAGCCAAATTAGATTTATTTAGATTCAAATTTAAACTAGTTCTGTGCAGTTTAAGACTTTTATTTTCTCTGGGCCCTATGGCCTCAGATGAATTTTCTATTTTTTCTATTCGAAAATAATTTTAATACGAACCGACCACCTTCAAACTCTACCCTCATTTCGTGACATTTTTCGATTGATTTTACCAGCGGCTGAAAAAATAATCAATCTATGCGACAAAATAAACAGATTAGAGGTCCATCAAATGATAGATGAAAAGAAAAGTGAAAAGCTTCGCAAGTAAATATTTATGATAACAAAGGAAGTCAAAATTTAAATGGCAGAACATTAAAAACAAACAGAAAACAACAATTTGTATAATTACACAGTTACATCCAAATTTGCTCTATTATCTATTATCAAGCTGCTCGGGCATGCTTGAGCGTAAAACAGAGGGTTGTCCCAAAGCGGCAGCTTCCGCTCGTCTCTGACATGCGCCGTTTCAACGGATTGAATGAATATTCAGTTGTATTTGAATGCTCGGCTGCGGTGAGTCGTCGGCCTAACCTAAATTCTTGGCACCACTAAATTGTGCCATTCGAAAGTTGGCTGCTGTGGGCACAGTGTCAATGCAACTCAATGCGATACACGCAAACGGCACGCAGCGAATAGCCAATCTTCGTGGTATATAAAATCGTATGTAAATAATTCTATACATTGCATGTAAAATATATTTTTTTTTATCTCTGGTGCCAATAGAATTTCAAACGGTCACTATTTGTTGCTCTTTTATTAACCGGGTTTTGCGCTGCCTTTTGTTTTATTCATTTCTCTTTTACATTGATTTTTTATTAATAGTTTTTTTTTTTATTTCCACGCGCCGAAGAAAGTCACATTCGAAAGTGAATATTTTTGTTTGAACCGGATTGTCGAATTGGCTTTTCAACGGTTCAACGGTTGGGCTATTGTTTTGAATGAGAATAATGTGGGCAAAAACGGAGAGCGGAAAGTTTCATTAGAATAATTAATAATTTATTCAACATTATCTTTAATTTCACTACTTATTCACTTAGAAATTCTTTTAAGTCGGTTCTGCTTTATCGTTTTCTTAAAAGAGGGTAATAAATTAATTTGTTTTTCATAAAGAGTTTTTGAAAATTCTTTTTAAAATTTCTTTTAATATGTCATCTTTTTTCATTTCTTTTGAGGAAGTGAAAGAATCATAGTTAAAGTCCTTAGAAGCGACGCTCTCTGCTGTGGAAAACCATACGGTCAATATGTATTTGCTATAATACGGCAATGAGAGAGACCCTCGGCTACCACAGAGAAGTAACAAAATCTTCAAAGCGTTAGCCGGCAGCACATGGGAAAAAGGCAAAGAAACTTTGCTCGCAATACACAAAGCAATTGACCTACACCCATTCGGACACTGTATACTCAACAGAGAGACAGGAGACCTCCTGTTGTCGCCAGAGCATCACTTGCACAATGAAACATCTATTCTATGCCTTAAGGAGCGGAATGTTATGCTGTTCAAGCAATATCTGCTAGGATATCTGCTTTATGCAGAACCACCATCTAAGTACTTAGGGAAGGAAACTTCACCAATCCCATTCACCACCATAGACCAGAACTGCTGGATAGAATGGCGTACCGACATGCTATAAACGCTATTCTTCCTGAGTGTGTCAACACTTTCTTGAACTCTCTTGTGTGCTTCTAAGCGGGGCTACATAGCCGCTACAACAGCAATATCAACAAGCAACGTTCTGGTTATGTTGCAGATAAATTTGGTTAAATTTTTGGCTTTTTCTTTGGAAATAGTTATGAAACTTGCCATGTAATTCTTTTGATAACCCTCAAAGCAACTAATTAACCATCTAATCTAATTTCTTTTTACCCCTCCCAGGAAGTTTCTGTTTAGGCTTTTTCCCACCGATCGAGGTTTGTTGCTTAATTCTTTTGTCCAAGCAAAGTTCGTTGCTTCAGTCTCTGCTGTTACTTGGTTTTATGATCAATTAAACATAAACGAGTGAAGTGGAGTGTTATAAATTAATGGAAAGTGTATTGACTTTGCGAACAAGTAAACAAACAAAAAGAAAAAACACAAGAATTATTAAATGCAATATTTAAATTTATGACTTAACTACCTTTTGGTGTTTTGATGAATACAGCAACGGTAATCCATTTGGGGAACTGCCGTCTGCAGCGAACGTTAACTTTTAACGGCAACTGTAGGCAACAGACGCTTCTAAAAAACACACAACGATTGGCGTTCGCTTAGAAAAAATGCCTCAAATTGGAGCACTTTTTTGTGGAAATCAAAAGTTTTTGCACTCTTTTATTTTTGTGCATGTAAATGAATGCGGAATTGGGTAATATTTGATTAATGCGCTTGGAATATGCATTGTAATGACTATGCAATGAAATCTAAGTGCAATTCTATGCTCCAGTGCAGCGTTGCAATGACGTGAGTGTTGTTTTATATGCGGTAGGTTTTTGGAAAAATATTTGCTGACTTTTTGCACTATTTGGGTATATATTTTATTTTTATTTTTTTGCAGCTTTAATAAATTTTTTTTTCTAAACAGTTTTGCCTTTTAATTTTCCACACTTACAAATGGTTGGCTTTTCATGGCACACATACTTGGGAATAATTAAAAAAAAAAGCTATAACAAAAACTAATAATAATTTTCGTAAAACTCTGTGTCCAGTTTTCAAACAGTAAAATTTTTATTACCAAGCGGCAAGAAAAACTCGGCGTACTTTCTCTTTTGGCCGTTCGCGGCAGCCACAGGAACTTTTAAACTTTTCCAATTAGACACAGAATGCTATAATTCACTTATATTGCTAACATTTATGTGTGCTGACATAGTTTTTTTGTTATTGTATTTAATTATGGCAAGTTGTTTTTGCTTTTTTGCTTTACGTTGAGCACCGATATTTCCGTTAGCAATCGATTTAATTGATATATCAAAGGAGCTGTTTTTTTTTTGTTGGAAAATTTTTTTGTCTGCCTACGCACTGGCTATCTGCTGTTTCTCGCAATTTTCTGCCGCTTCGTACTTTTTTCTAATAGATTTTTCCACACTTTTCACTATTATTTCACTTCTTCGTGCGCGCTCACTCGCTCGCTCTGAACTTCTTCCAGCTTCTTTCGGTTTCATACACAAAATCCAAACTCTAAAATCCAGCTAGAAATTCCTTGCTCGCTGCATGTACATACGTTTGTTTGTATGTGTTTTTAATCGTGTACGCGACTTTTCACAACAACTTCCTTACTCGTGCCACTTCTTTGTGTTTTTTTTTTTTGTTTTTTGTTTGTTTATTTTTTTATTTGTTTTTACAGCTTCTACACCGGTTCACAATGTCCGAGCAGTGAAAAATAAAACTGCTGTTTAAGCGTCTAGCGTCCAGCGTCCAGCGTCACTGTCCGCAAAATCGTTTTGTTGCTCACGAAGGCCGACACGCAACTGTTGCTTGACTTATTGCAGAGTCGGCAATAGACTCAATTTTTACAAAGCGCTCAAACACAAGCAACTCTCATTCATAACAGCAAACGAATATAAATAACAACAACAACAATAAGTATGTTTGTGTACAAAATTTGGTATTTCCGCTTGAGTTACAAGTGAAGAAGGAGTTGAGCAGCCGAGCGCTGCGGATTTTTTAAGCTACTATTGTCTTCTTTGTGTCTATTAGTTTCGTTTAACTTGGCTGAAAGAGGGTTTTCGATCTTTCGGATCTCATTTCATTAATTTGAAGCAAGCGTAAGGGGTGATCTATACTGGATTCGGCATCTCGGATATTTTCCTTGCTCGTACACCTTAACAATAACTCCGTTAACTGCTTCAAGTCTTAACGCTTAACATTCGTCGGCTCAAAACCTTGCAACTACAACCTGAAACCTTTCAGTTCTACGGTGGCTTGGGTACAAGCTCGTTGCGAGTTACTCAGAAAATTTGTTCTCTTCTTTGAGTATACGACTTTTCACTCATTGCCTCATTCGCTCACTCTCTTTGTTACAACATTTTGCTGAGCACTTTTTTGTTGTTGTAGCATAATGCACCATTTCGACATTTTTTGCATTTTTGTAAACGAACTTTAAAGGCGCATTTTTTTTGGTTGTATGCCACTTAAATCACAACAACAATACAGCGGAGGATAAAGCCAAAGCTGAGGAGCTTGTAATAGCAACGAAGTCGTGATATATTGTATGTGCGTTTGTATGTATATAAGTATGGCAACAATTCGGGTTTGGCACACGCGAAACGTCGTTAAAAAAATGTGGCAGCTTTATATAAAAACTAGAATATGTACAAACATACATACATATGTACTATGTACAGACTTCTTACATGCTGCATACATACATACATACATAAGAGTATGCATGCCCAATATACAAATGCTCAGTGAATTGTTGACTTCAGAATTGCTTATTATAAAAAATAAGGCAAGATTTGCCTTTCCAGTCAAGGTTCGCGAGATAAAGTTAAACGGCAAGAGAAATCAAAACGATTGACGTAGTGAAATTCATTTAGCCATCACTGTGCGCCTGCTCTACTTTCCATGCAGCTCATAACGGACAATCTGAGTTGGGCAACTTTAGTGTGGCAACTTGGGTTCTACAGTTTAAGTGGAGCCACTCGGACGTATTCGTTTTAAACGTTCACTGGCAGCGTTTGCTCACATCACATGGAGCGACTCTGAGCAGCAAAGAATACCAGCAAACAAACACAAACAAGGTTCGAAGTCGAAAAGCTGCAATCTCAACGGACTGGCGAACGTTTTTCTAATTGACCTGCTCCCCGGCTCCGGACTCTGTGCTAACCTTTTAATATCCTGCCATCAAAGAAACAGTAATAGCATTCGCGACTCAGCTCCCACGTCGCGGCTGGCAGTAATTTAATTTCGTTTTTCTTAGAACCAGTATTAACACCAACAACAATGACATCCTGGAAATCCAACTCAAAACCATTTTCGTCAATAGTTGCTACTTTGAACTGAGTAGGCAATTGAAAATTAGAAAGCTTTCTTAACGAACAAAGACCATGTCGGTTATCATTTCCCTTCTGGTACAGATGGGGTCTATGACAACATCTGGTAAGTCGGTGTTGGGAGTTTTCGAGTGAAAGGTTTTACGTAAGATTTATGGTACTCTACGCATTATCGCATCCGACATATTGACATAGCTCATCGTATCAAGAGACAGTGGCCCCGTTTGGTAGGCGATGTGGTCCGAAGGGATAAAATATCAACAGTACCCGCTGACGGAAACAGAGGTTGAGAAAGACTTGGCTGCAGCGAAAAGAAGGAATGAACGGCGCACCGTTGTTAACCCGGCTATAATCGCGTAAGCGGTGTCTACGCCAGTAAAGGAATACAATAATTTTATATTCACTTAATTCTTATATACACGTATTCTGCATTTATCATGCAAAGTTTAAGAGTTTCTGAGCTTTCACTTTGATTTTAAAGCTTTATTTAAATATTTATTACAACACTTCTGCTAATTCTCGTATTTGTAACTCGGTTGCTCAACCAGCATATCGTCTTCGATCTTTTCTTCCTCTTTTTCTTCTTTTTGCGCTCGGTTTGAAATTGTACTGCATTCTGCTACTTACATATAAAGGTACTCATATATTTAACTACATTTTTATTGTTGTAATTTTAATATTTTTACTGGCCATCCATCGCTTTTAATATGCAATTTTATGCTTCTGTAAATTTTCGCGCTTCTTCCTTCTTTTACTTATTGCCAATTGCAGCATAGCTCAACCTTTTATCACAACAACTCTGTGCATCCTACGTCCATATGAGAGTACTCTTTTCCCTGCTAGAGATCAGATAGTTCTTTTATAACCATAGCGTTGTTGTTGTTGTTGCTATATCAAGTATTTACCGATTTATTGGATTTTATATATATTAAAGCTTTACAGCAAGCGTTTTTCCCCTTTGTTCGCTCGATTACTTTACACATTTTCTTTTCAACTCCGTCGTGGAGTATTAACTCACTGCTTTCAGCTAGACATGGTCATCAACGGATGGGCAGGATTAATATTACGCATTTAAGCATCTCCAATTACAATCGTTTAAAATACATATAATCTGAGGCAGTTAAATATATATCGTATGTTTGTAAGTGTGGACTTAACATTTTGTGATTTCGTGACGCATCACTGACGATTTACGCAGACAAATTGATGCACTCATCATCGATTCCCTCTGTTTCCATTTGTTATGCCTCAAGAACGCGTTGTCTTTGTAAAATTGTTAAGTTTAAATTTTTTTTAGTTTATTCCAATATTTCATGATGACATGGAGGTTCCACAAAAGAGTTTGGCCCGGTTTTTATGAAAGCTTTAATTTTGCCAATCGTCTACTGCCTATTGTAATTCATGCCTTTAGTGGGTGTCATTCCCCGACGAATGCAAACCATACCTAACCGAATTGGAAAGGGAAAGTTACGATGGCGAACTTTTTTTTTGCTTCTACTTTGAGTTATATTCGATCTCGATGCACACAATATTCCGCGATCTCAAGCCGACGATGGATTTCCAAGAATTTCGATAAACAATAAGACTTTCCTAATTTGCTTGAAGGTGCAAGCCATGGATTACAAAACCTTTTTTTAACGTTCGTCTGGCTCTTCTACTATATTAAGCTTGTTTGTATTGTTGCGTTTTTCGTGATTATGGGGTGATTGTGGGATCGTCCTGGTGCTCTCTGCTGATACTTGGACCGTGCTCTTCTCGTGGTGAACGTAAACTTGTGTCCAACTCCAAGATTCAAATTATGACCTAATCTAGCTTATTTGGCCCACTATCAGTTGCGCTATATTCGTATTTCTTTTCAAACATTTGCATTTTGTTTTGGACGTCACGTCAGCGAAAATCATACCCAAAATGATGAAATATAAACTTATGTGCAACTCATACTACGTACTGGTATTTCGGTCTTCAATGTTCGAAGATTTATATAATCACCTACTCCCTTGGGCTTTCTGGATAATAATTTATTCCAGTGAGAATGGGAGCTAGCCTAACTTAATGCAGCAATGAACCTACTTCCAACAATATTAACAGTTATTATCAAATTCAATAAATTTTCGCATACAAATTTTCATTTATTTGTGCTTTTACATATTTTTATTTCGATTTTTTTTCGTTTTTTATGCGTCACGAATGTTGTTTCATACAAATTTAATGAACGAAAATCCCATCAAACATACTAATGATGTACATTAGTCGCTTGTAGGCGTGCTGCACCCAATTATTTAATGAAATCATTTAGATTGACGTTATTAGAATACCTCAAGCATCCATTGTCCGCATGGCCACACCGCTAAAAGAAATATTAAGTAGAAAATTAAGAAAACATTTTCACGCTATTTGGCTCTATACAGGCCATAAACACCAAAGATCAAGAAATGGCTAAGCCCACTCAAATATGGCTTAATGTTCCACATACTTACACGTACGCATAGACACATACATATTTATATAGAAGCAAACTAGGCTAGGCTAATGAAAGTTCTATGGAAACTGGCTACGGGCACCCATAAGAGCATGGCACCGACGAAATTCTTTTGCAGCGCGCAAAAACATGAAATTCTAACGAGCAAAATTAAAAAATAACAATACATTGATGGACATATAAAAATAATATTGCAATAATAACAATAATTGCATGTAATTATTGACATTAAAAAATGTGCAACAAAAACACACAATAATGGCCACGTGGTTATGTATCGTCTGCTGTGTGCTGTCTCCTTTGGTTCTTCTTTTGTCGGCTTTGGTGCGAGCAGCACGCGGCAACCGTTGGACAACAGCCGGCAAGCAACAAACGTCCAAGCCGCTTAGCGTTGCAGTCCCTGGAGATTCCTTGCCAGGCGAGTAAATTCTCGACTTGTTGGGGACATAAAATGCAACAAAGGCGATGACAATGCCAGAAGAGACAAAAAGCAAGAGTGGATGAGCGAATGCAGCAAAAGGGAAATCAATGTCAGCTGAAAGGACTGTAGAAGAAGTGAGAGCCAAAGATGAATGGGGCGCCCAACCACTTTTGAAGGTTATGGTAACAAAATGGATGCAAATAGTGTATATATAATTGGCGCTAAAGCGATTTTCGACCGAGCTCCTCCTCCAATTTGTTGAATGTGTCCTGATATTTTCCAAAAAAAAAAAAAAAAAATGCTGGAACCTAAAGTTTATTCTTAGCCCCTACCGGGCTTAGATTTTTGTGTGAAGTTCTGATTTTCACGTCAGAAATACACTCGAAGGGCTTGACATTCCCTGCCGAGGGGTGACCGCTATTAGAAAATTATATTTCCTATAATTTTCAATATTGGGCAAACAATAACTTGACCGCTGGCCTTCAAAAAGGCAGAAACTAATGAGCTTCTTTGGTATTAACTTGGCAATTAGACTAATACATATTTTGTAAATATTCGATCAGAACATTGCTGTAATAAATATCTGTTGTAAATTAAAATTGGTTCTCTAATGTTGTGGATTTTTTTCCATTCGGCGATGTTTTATCTAAACCACACGAGTAAGCAGCGTTTGGGAAAGCCTGTCCGCATACTAACACAGAGTATGCCTCAAGGGTGAAATGTAGCATAAAATGCACTGAAATGAATTGCAGGCCAGTTCAGTTGGTACAGCTGCACCTATCGCTCTGTTCGTTGCTTGAGTGTTGTTGCAATTGCTTGGCTTGTTGGTGACTGCTGCTGTTGCGTTGCAACTGCAAACTGCATTTCGGTCTTCAGGAGCAGAAGCGAAATCAAGACAGCAATAAAACGAATAAAAGGTGCAAAGGAAGGCGAAGGCTATATTTCGTATCCAACAAAGCACAGAGCAAGTAAACTGTGATGAAGCCGCCGTTGTTTATGTTTTTGTTGGTGCTGCGATGTTGTTGCTTCGATGTTGGGCATGCTGGGCATTGAACTGTCGTCGCCGCAGCCGACGCTTTCATTGCGTGCCATGTGACTAAGTTGCGCCGCTTGGTGACGCTGCTGTTGATGCCGATGCAGAAGTAACAACAGTTTCCAGCGTACATACAAAAGTGTACATGTACATAAATGAGTATTCTTGTTGCTGCTTTGGTACATTGTCGCTGTAAAATTACATTGCTTTTGCTTTCGAATTTTAGCTGCCACCGTTCCTCGTTGTTTTTCTTGTTTTTTTAACATTTTATTTAAGGCCTTCTACTTTTCATCCTTTTTAGCATTAGTTGTTGCTGTTGCTTAGTTTTTCCTTTGTTGTCGCTGACTTCGTTGGAGATGAAAATTGTTACTAAAAATTGATAGGTACTATATCCCAGCATCTACAGCAATAAAAACAAAAACAATAATATTCTGAATTCGTCTTTTGCACATTTTCGTTTGTTTTTACCTTCAGAAGTCTATTAGCTGTAACGTTATTGTTGTGTAAGTTGCCTGTGGAGCTATGCAGTAGCAATATTTATGAATGTATGAGCGTCTGTTCATATGCGGCAGGAATTTTTGCAAGTGTTGGACTGGAATGTGCGCGTGCGCAAATATTGTTCCATTACAAAGACCTTCCTATTATTTCTTCTTCGCTTTTTCGACATCAATACGGTTAAACCTGTGGCAGTGACCCTTTTTTATGCACTGGCTATTATCCTGTAAATGGGATTTTGCTTTTACCATTACATAGGTTTTTATCTAGAACAGTCATACAGCAATAGCATATCATAGCGAGAGCAATAGCGATATCATATATAGGGAAAGTAAAATTAAGAAAATATGACCCAAAATATATTCTTGAAACCCTTACTTTATTTCACTTCTGAATTAATCGATGTCAAACATATAACTGCAGTGCCAATAAATAAAATGATTTACATATACACATATTATAAGTTGGTTATATACATACATACATATTTATATCTTCATTGTTTTTCCAATAAATTTTTTTTCTGTTCAAAATAATACACACATATAATGTATACATAATTTATCACCACTAATTACCTAAGTTTTAATCGGAATTACTCATTTTATGAGCATATAAGCGTCTGCATATATGTACCAAGTTCCACACATACTTACATCCTCACGAAATATTGCTAGGTTCTTTAAGAACGTACTTCAGAAATATTTTACAACATTTTCAGGAAGCAATTAAATTAAACTATCGGTAGAGCTCCCACCTGAGTACACACCTACATACATATCTAAATGAGCGAGAATTACTGTCACTAATATTCGTTTGTTTGTAATAAAAATGTGCTCCAGTATCAAGTCACTTTTCTCAGTAACGCAGTAATCAACAGCAAGTGAGCAGATATCGCGATCAGTGCGTAGCAGACAACACATCGATTGGGAATTCCAAAAATGTAGACTTCATTTGTCACAAATTGTTGAGAGAAATATTCTATCAGTTGTCAACCGTATGACAGTTTGGAATTTCGGGGGAAAATTAGACAACATAAAAACAAACAATCGAAAAACTAAAAAAAAAACAATAATCACATTATTGCGCCTAATAAAGCTGAAATGCATGGCTCTTTGACATACTCACAAACAAGCAAACACATGATTAATATTAGTATGTGTGGTGGTGACCACAATGAGGTCTCTGCTGGCCAAACCAAATTGATGTTTATCTGATTGCTTCCTCAACCTTAACACAACATGCACTCCCCATTTACTGTTGTTGTGATTTGTTTTTATTTCTTCTCTGCTTTTTTGCTTTCTTTCATTCTCTTTCTTGTTGTTAATAAAAATACTTTTTTTTAGAAAATTTTAAACAATTCCCCCTTAACATGGTGGCGATACGATGTTTGAGGCGTGCATCGAACAATGGGCACAACGTGATTGATTTGGAGTCATTTGTTCTTTCGGTAAAAATGTGGTAAAGTGGTATTTCGGTCTACTCACACACACATATACACATACACACACTCACACTCTAAGGTCGCTGTTGCCGCATTGTTTGGGCTGCCGAACTGCCTTGCGGTGAAGAGCGAATCATGGAGTTGGCAAAGGTAGAAAGGTCGTCAGCGTAATTGTCAGCCAACTGTTCTTTTATCATTTCTATAGTCACCTCTACCGCAAGGTATCTTCCTGGTCTTTAATAAATTTATCTTTTCTATTATATCCCATCAGTTTCTTTTATTTACTTTTTATGCATTTTCAGTGCAGCGCGTGATTTTCCTGTGGTCGACGGCGTTGAGGTGCAACTCAGAATTAGGTACCTTTATCTGTATGAATTCAATTCTTATTCTTCTGAGAGACATGTTTATTGAAAAAATTAAATTACACGCCTGTCACAACAACACATTCGCTAATGTGTTCCTATTGCAATTGAGAGGCTTTGGTTGTGTCTGCTCGGTATACGAAACTTGTTTGAGCGCCTTTTCGTAAGTGTTTACGGGCAGCGATCTCAAAAATTGTGTACGCATTTATGGAATGTGACGAATCATTGAAGCCTTCGAAGAGACATTGAACCGCGGAGAGTTTTCATTTAATAAATTATTGTTCTTATACTATCGTTGAAAATTTTTGGAAAACAATTTTTCATTTTTATTAAATTACGAGGATTGAACTCAATGTCGGCACGATGTCTCTTACAAAAAGATTCGAGTACAATAATATGGAGATCATTGTTAAAAATTTGTTTAAGAGGTGTTAAGAGTAAGTCATTAACTTGAATGGGTAAAGACGTCAAAAGCTTTATGAACACATCACTCGGCTGTATACCTATGTATATTTTGCTCATAATATTTAATTTTTTTTTTGTGAAATAGTTTTTTTCACTACTTTTAATATCCTTTATTTAAATTAGCCAAAATACATTTAATAACCCATTGATACAAATCTTTTTGACTCTAAGGGGAAAAAATTCATTCGAATTAATTCACATTCAACAAATTAATTTTCTCTTTCTTCCAGTCGAAAATTTATGTCAACTACATTTCTTCTCTTTTCGAATAGAAAGTAATCATTTTCACACATACATTATTGAATCCAAATCCATTTAATGAAAACGAGATGATTCTAATCGAATGTGTTAGAATAATAAGAGAAAAAAGATGTAAAGAATGGCAAATGCTATCTATACGCTTTGATCTTTTTTCATAAACTATATGCTAATCGCTTAACAATTCAACAAAAAAATCCATATGTTTGAGATGTTTATTGGTTTTCAAACATAAAATGAAAGAGGTGTTTTAGAAAACAAAATTAGGAAAAAAATATCATGGCGATTTGTCTACAAAAAAGTGGTCGCGCATCTTGGTAGTGGCAATTGTCAGGCAAGTAAGGTGTCCGACCTATGGAAAGTGTTTCGTTGATATGCTATAGTAACGAGACGATTAATGATCATTTGTCTTCAGGTTTAAATTAGAAAAATATTTACTGTTGCTCTAAACAAATTACATTCGGTATAGATTTGCAACTCCAGGGCAAAAGAGCAGGTTTTCACAGCTGGCACATATTATGAGAAGACTATGGAAAAAATTTGAAATTTGCAAGACGAAACGTTGACTTATATACATATATACATAAAAATACATACATAGATATATACATACCTGTATATAATATAAATTGGTTGTTAGATGGGCTTATGAAAGAATCTGTTCTCTAACTTACTGCAAGAAATGTTCGCCAAAATCAATGACTTTGGCCATTTCTTTTAATAAATGAGGTATTCTTCGGGATAATGTTTGACCAAATAAAATAGACGCTCTTTCGTTGCCTACTTTCATTTATTACATGCTCACGTATACTTTTTGTCAACTAAACTGCTCACGGCTCACACGGATGTGGCGTTATTATCAAACCAGTTAGTGCATGCAATCCGCGTAATATATTGATTTTTAAATTATTGTTTCAACAATTATTTCACACAAAATTAAAGTTCAAATTATTGAAATTGCTGCGAAAACACTAGAAAAACAGATAAATTTTAACTTCCCGTTAGCTCCTGTCATCCGCTTCAAGAATTTTACAGGGCCATCTAGCGGTGGTGAGTAAAACAATGATTAATAATAAATGTGATACATATCATTGATGGATAAATACACTATTACAGTGAAAACTGAAACTTATACCGAAAGCCCAAGCTTACAAACTGTTTTATATAGAATTACTATATTCAACGGTTGAATGACGTCTTAATTTATAAATATGAAAAAGTAATGCATTTCTTACACCCTGTAGTTCGAAAACAAATGTCATCTGTAAATGAATTCGAACAAAAGTAATTTTTTCGAACACACCCCGCTGTCATCGACTGCGCTTGATTATATTTTCATTCATATCAAAACACAAAGGCACGAAAACATAAGATAAATAGAAAATTAATCTCTACTGCTCCTCAACAAAAAGAGAATTGATAAACAAGTAAAAACTTGAAGCAAATTTTTACTGATTTCGTTATTTAGTTGATAAAGTTATTTTAACGCGCACGGAAGTGTAAAAACGAATACGATACAATTTCGGGAATTGTAAACAAGTGCAACAAAAACCCTTTGGTGATTTTTCTTTTGCCACTAGTGAGTGCAAAGGAAAAAATCCCCAAACCCAACTTCAACGTAAACACTTTTGCAGTGCATTGAGATGCATAGTTACGGTGGAGCAACAGCGTCAGCTGCTCCCCAACAACTAGAAACACAAGAACGGCCCCTTGGAAATCTCCATGACGCAACGCTGCGTAACAGCAGTGTAGGCCAGCATGCAGGCGATACTGGCGGAGTGATAGGGGGTGGCAGCAATAGCAGCGGTGAAAATTCGCGTTGCGAAAGCGATGATGAATATCACAGAAACCGATCAAGGTCAACGACGATGGGCGCTACAACAGCGCCTGCACATAGTATCGGCATAGAGAGTGGAAATGAAAGGTCAAGTGTTTACGCATCTACTTCCGTACAGTACGATAGTACTGAACAACCCACAAGCTCTCACAACGCAGAAGGCATTTCACCAATGGCGTCGTTCAATGAGGAGAGGATGCGTCGAAAGTTACAATTTTTCTTCATGAATCCCATAGAAAAGTGGCACGCACGTCGCAAATTTCCTTACAAATTTGTTGTACAGGTGAGTCAGTGAATTTAAAACACATAGCCATATTTACTTGAATTTAAAAATAGTCATAAATAGGATAATAAAGATTTCGACAGGAAATGCATGAGAAATTTACGAAGAGAAACAGTATCGCACTTCAACAAACTCCCCTAATATTGAGTCATTATAAGTGAAGCAATTCAATAACGAGGAACTTTTGAGAGATTTGAAGTTACATGCTTTATGCTTTGTTATGTATGTGGAAGTTCTTTTGATATCAATTACATGTACATATGTTTCGGGGTATTATTTTACTACAAATAATTCCATGTCCATTGTTATTAATATCGCATGCGCCCAGCTTGATTTGTTCTTGAATAAGCATGGTTTGCTATCTTTCGATACTGGCGTATAAAAATACAAGAATAGTTTGGTTCGTTAAAATTTTGTGTCATGGTTTGCTTTTTTAAATCGAAAATGCATTGAGGTCATAAAACGATCTTTTTACTTATCGATTTTAGTCTAATGCATTGTTAACTCCACTATTATTTGCTTCCTTATATAACGGTGTACGAAATAATTATTGCTTGCTTCGATAATTGGAAATGCAATTAACATTGTTTTGCTCAAAATTTTCACATGCAGCTGAAAAATATCTATTTTATCCATTTAAAATGTATTTATGTATACACATACACAATTTCGGGCAGAATAATAAATAATTATTCGTATTTTTCATTGACCAAGCGGTTCATAGTAAAATTTATCGAGAAATTCGCTTATAACACAATTTCTGTTCTTCTTTTTAGTTTATTGACACATATGTATATATATATATATTATAGCACTGCACTGTATACATGCTAATACACAGCTTGCCTTTTATAACTTGCTTAATTTAATTGTGTGGGAAATATAAATAAGTCTGGTTTAATAACGTGAACTCACCCCACCCGCCATCCGCTGCTGGAATTTTTTTAAATACAAATAATGAGCTCGATTGTCACTTATTCACGTATATATGAATGTATATTACATTGTTTCTAACTATGTAAACTTGTAAATGTTATAATAAGTCATGGTTAAAATAATACTTTTGTCTCAACAAACTTATTTACGTAATGTATACGTGAAAGTACATACATATACATATAAGTATGGCTGACAAATGTATGGCATATACAGTGCATAATCAGTTGCATATTAACACTGCATGTCAATGATGACACAAGTACATAGGTAGTATTTTTCACATTGGAAAGCTTCGTTTTATTTAAATACATACATACTCGTATTTGGATAATTTACTTGTCTCATTAGCGATGTACAATTCATGTATATTGCTGTACTTGCAATCGAGATTTGTGTGATCGAATTGCAAATTGAAAGGTAGATTTTGTTTGTGGAAAAAAAATAAATGATAAAGCGCTATCTGTTATTAATGTGTTGTTGTAGAAAAAGTATTCTATTCAAAGTGAAGATACGCCTTTGATATTTGTGGTACAGTCATTGACACCAACATTCCTACACAAATTCAATTGTCTAATAGAACTTTTTTATTACTACAATCTATTACCAACCTTAAAAACCCCCTGCGGGTTAGGGGCTCAAGAATTTACCCGCGGTAAGGCATGCCTGTCGTAAGAGGCGACTAAAATCCAATAGTTCCCGCGACAGTCGGGTCTTTATACCGGAACGACCCGTATTTTTATCCGGCCAAGGACTGTCACTCCCGTAACATTCCCCAAAAAGTACTTTGGGGAATAATTTTGCGTGTACAACATCAACAACAACCAACCTTAAATTGCTTAAGCAATAATAATTATTTTTACAACTAATACAAATGTATAACCATTTTTGTATGCTTTCCGAAAAAATATAAATTTTCCACAATCTAAGTAAATCAGAAGCTAAAAACGGAAACTGTTTACAAATAATAAAAAAAAGCTCCTGAAAGTAATATATTAAAGCAGATTATAGTAGGTTTTTTTTGATCAATCGAAAAATTGTACTGATTTTCATATTGCATATTCCATCTTCGCTTCATTTGCCATTTTTTTGGTAGCCCATTTCTCAAAAATAATAGAAACTTGATTAACGTGCCAAAAAATGCGAGGTTTTTCCTGTGGTTTCCACGCATTATTCATTAAATTTATCACCCCACCACTAATCGCACTCAGAGTAAATGAATGTATTCTCCAAAATCGCTAAATGATTTCGTCAACTTATGAATACACGATGCTAATAGCAAAAATAAACACTAAATGTTGCTAATAATTTCCATAGGTGACAAGTTGTGAACACAGACTCAGTAACTCGCACCTGGGAATAACACAACTCAAAGGGGTCAGAGTATTTAAAAAAAGAGTAAATAAATTTATTATAATTTGGAAATTTAAAATATATAGCTATTCTTAATTTGGCACATATGTATGTATGTATATATGTACACATAATCCTATAGAAATTTAAAGAGTTGAATATTTCACCTACATAAATGATGATAGTTTCCAAGGCATGTGACTAAGTACTTACATATGTATGTACAATACGTACACTGCATATTTAAAGACAAATTGCTTATCAAATTGTAAATATGTAACCTTAATACGTGTGCAAATATTTATACCAATTTTAATCAGTAGCAAAACCTTCCCGATTGCCGCTAAGCACGCAGCACAATTAATGACGATCACCAACATGAACTATATACATTTGTATGTATGTATGTATATACAAACTGACATATATTTATGTAAATATGTACATATGAATATTGCTTTCTAGGCATAACCATAGCCCATAGTCTCTCTTTCATTATATTTATGAGTCAAATGCTTCGTCGAAAGTAGCACATCCGAGACGAAAAAAGGGAAATTAGACTAAGGCGAAACTAATTTACTTGTGGGCATCTGTATGTGTTGGTATGTACATGATTGTTGTCGGTCTTTTGTTTTATATTTAGTAGATGATATACTCATATCTACACTCGCAGTCTGCCTTTAATATCCTCATATCTAAATTGTCTGTTTGTCTTCGCTCTGTCACTGATAATAATTTTTTTTTGTCTTTTTTCTTTTTTTTCTTTAACAAAAGTCTTGTCTAAAATGAAAATCTCTTATTAAGCGCAAATTTTTCGCCATTAATCATCGTTGCTAAGTTCTGGGTTTAAGTACATAAATCACTACTTCCATATGTGCTCATGTACATACATATGTATATACATAGATGCGTAGTTGTTGCATTACCTTTGAAATGATATTTACTTACTATCAACGAGCTCTTATTATCTTAGTTACGTCGTAGTTTAAGGTTTTTAGCTTGATTCAAAATGAACAAAAATTATCTCATAGTTATTTATAAATAATTGTTAAATTTTACACACACACACACACACACCACATATGAAACATCAATTTTTTTATAACAATTAATTAATTTCCAATAATCAGTTAATTACAACATTTTTATCTTTTTGCATACTCTTAGTAATTTTCCAACAAAATGTACTTGTGATATCGTCAGTATCTCTACCCAATCTTAAAACAAGAAACAAGTGCTGTCTTCATCCCTGCCGAAGGCATGACAATATCAAATCTATGGTATTTTCTTTTAGAATTCAATATTTATTCCCATATTCTGTATAGTTCTGCGATTAAGATAGTTTTCAGCACCCTTTTTGTAGTTCATCATATGTGTGCAGAACATCAAATTTCACGCTCTCACGTTGTTTTTTGGATACATAATCTGCAGTGAAACGATCTGGCCAGTGCATCGGCGTACCAAGTTTGGTTAAAATATTTCAAAAACTAAGGGATTAGTTTGCGTACAAACGCACGGACAGACGGACATGGTTAGATCAACTCAACTTGTCATTCTGAACCGATCGGGAAATCTCTTCTCCATCTGGTATTTATATATTTCGAAACACACATGTTCATGAATGGTATAATAGAGTTGCTGAATGGAAGGCTAACATATCTAAAGTGTTCTGCCGCACGCCGTGACTCTGAAGTTAGTGTTCCCAGGGTCTCGGCACCTTTCCAAAATACGTCCCTCTCTCCTTCCAGGGGTGTTTGGTCAGCACGGGGTCTGAGCTCAGGGTACCTGCCTCTATAAAATGTAATCTGCTACTTAATTTCTGATATTGCAAAGCATATGGGCCTACCAATACAAGCCCTTCCCTCTACTTGTTTATCAACTGAAACAATCTTTTAAAAGCCTATTAACTATTAATGGCCATCATCAAATGATATATATAAAACTTGTTCTTTCCCTTCCAGGTCGTGAAGATCATCTTGGTGACCATGCAGCTGTGTCTTTTCGCGCATTCGCGCTACAATCATATCAACTACACGTGGGATAATCGTATTGCCTTCTCACATCTCTTCCTACGTGGCTGGGACTCGTCGCGTGAAGTCGAGTCCTATCCACCATCCGTGGGTCCCTTTGCGCTCTACGAAAAGTCCGAGTTCTACGACACAATCGACTATGCGGTACTTGGTTATGCTAATATGAGCCGCTCCATCGGTCCCTACGATTACCCAACCAAGAACAATGAGATGGCGCCGCTACATCTTTGTCTCTACAATTATCGCGAGGGTACAATATTCGGCTTTAACGAGTCTTACATTTTCAATCCCGACATTACCGAACTTTGCCTCTACTTGCCGCCTAACGTGACGACAATGGGCGTGCAGGCTTATCTCAAGCAGAGTGGCGTTGAGTTGAGCTTTTCGTCGCTGGTGAAGGCGACATTGGTGTTTGCTATAAAAACGGTGAATTTTAAAGCCTATGGCGGGCCACTTTCTGCGCCCGATTGCTTCAAGTTCGATGTGCGGATTTTCTTCGACAACAGTGATCATGATGGACAAATGCTGTTGTCGCTGGACGCGGACGCACAACGCTTACGTTGCAAGGGTGATGTTGAGTTCATTTCGAATGCTGAGTTCGATGCCGCACTGCGAAGTATGTTGAATATACTAGTGTTGTTGGTGTGCTTGCTCTCCTTTGCGCTGTGCTCGCGTGCGCTGTACCGCGCTTACTTACTCCGCAGTCAGACGGTGAACTTTTTCCGGATGCATTTCGGCAAGGAGCTGAGTTTCGAGGGACGCATGGAGTTTGTGAATTTTTGGTGAGTGCGAAAGAAAGAGAGAGGGAGGGAGGGAGATTGAGATGGCTGAATTATTTATGACGTATATATATATATATATATATATATTTTTTTTTTTAATTTGCAGGTATGTAATGATCATCATCAACGATTTACTACTCATAATCGGTTCATCGTTGAAGGAGCAAATTGAGAGGAAATTCCTTGTTGTCGATCAATGGGACACCTGCTCACTCTTTCTTGGTGTCGGCAATTTGCTAGTGTGGTTCGGCGTATTGCGCTACCTGGGCTTCTTCAAGACCTACAATGTCGTCATACTCACGCTGAAACGAGCAGCACCCAAGATATTACGGTTCTTACTTGCGGCACTGCTCATTTACGCCGGCTTCACATTCTGCGGCTGGTTGATACTTGGCCCATACCATATGAAGTTCCGTTCGCTTGCAACAACCTCAGAGTGCCTGTTCTCACTGATTAATGGCGATGATATGTTTGCCACTTTCGCCACACTTTCCTCGAAAGCGGATTGGCTCTGGTGGTTCTGTCAAATCTATTTGTACTCCTTCATTTCCCTCTATATCTATGTGGTGCTTTCACTCTTCATCTCCGTCATCATGGATGCCTATGATACGATCAAGTGTTACTATCGTGATGGTTTTCCCATTTCGGATCTAAAGGCCTTTGTGGGCACGCGCACGGAAGAGGATCTCACATCAGGTGTGTTCATGAGCAATATGGATGACTTTGATGGGAACGGTGTGCTGGATATGCTGCGCCAAATGTGTTGCTGCGGCCGTTGTCGGACGGGCAGTGCCAGTGCCAGTGGTGGCAGCAATGGGCCCTCCGGGTACACCAGTCTGACGAGTATTATCAAGTGATTGAATGTTGTTGATGATGTACACTGAGTTGTTACTGTACTGACGTACATACATACACACATATGAGACGAACGGAAAGATGTAACGAAACGTAACGTACAATGCTGACGCTTGAAATGTAATGTAATGACGCCAAGGCTGCGTTGAGCTGCTACATGCATATTCGCAAGCATTTTTGATGGCATGCCATTAGTTGTTTTTTTTTCTTTTTAATTATATTTCTTCTTTTATACTTTAGTAACATACATACATATATACTTTTTTGTTAATGTTTATTTAGTTAAAAGTTGAACATTTCATCGATACATTTCTTCTAAGAAATTTACTTGCTTTCAATATTTTTCCTACATTCACAATTGCCTTCTATTTGCGCATACATACAGTTAAGGCTGTATGTACCGCAATCACACGCATTCTTTATGTTTGTTTAGATTTAGTTTAAAATCATTTCTTTAATATTTAACAGCATGTAAACCAAGCGGGAGACAATAGTTTTCTGGAAAAAGAAAATTTCTTTCGAAAAAAAAGCGTAATCGGAATGTTGAGGTTAGGTTTATGCTTGTAAATATGTTAAAATGTGTAGGGTTTAAGCATCAGGGACTAAAGTTTAAATATAAAATAAATAAATATATATGTATATATATATTGTAGGTGTGTATATGTAGTAGTGTAAACAAATAGTGATTATTCTAAAAATGCAATGATTTCATTAATTAAATAGCATCGTTAATTTTAGTGCTTGAAGATAAAAATAATATATTACTTTTTTTTTATCGAAACAATTGTACGTACACACGTATTTATATTTTTAAAACCAAAGAAATATTTGTTTGCCATGTAAAGGAAAGTTGTTGTACGTAATATTCTGTTGCAATTTTTGTCATTTACATTTACATATGTCTATATGTATTATAATTTAGTATACACACATACATATACGATATTAGGCATATAAAGTCCGAAAGACCTATGTATTTTATTGGGTCCTTTGTTAAGGGAAAAAGAGTATAAAACAACGCTGACAATAATTCAACACAGCATAAGATTTCTGATATCAGTAGTGATTGTTCAAATAAAAATATATAATTGTGAAATTAGGTAAATTTTTGATAGCGTAAAACTAAAATTATTAGCAAAAAAAAAAAAATTGTGAATATTTCTCGTAATTTAGGACGCATTTTTAGGTTGAAGAAGAAATATGTAAATTAACAGCGACAACATTATTTTATGCATTAAAAGTCGTGTTATTTAGCTACGCCAACAATTTATAAAATGCATCTGCTGCATACTTTGAGCATTTCACTTTTAATAATTTGAAAGTTACCGTAATCATTCTGTATTTCTACGTTCTACTTGCCGCTTTCATTGCATTTCCAAAGCAATTTACACTTTTGTAATATAAAAATAATTTAATTACCACCAAAATGAATAAACACTCATATGATTAGTTGTTGCTTATTTTTCATAATGATTTTTGTTGAAATTCATAAATTACTTTTAAATAAGAGATTTCGCTGTTGCTATATTATTTTGTCTGTCCTAAAAGATCATCTACATGAGCATATTAAATGCCTGCTTGTTTGTACACCGGTCCATGAAAATCTAAAATGTTAATAAAAACTATGTAACCATGAGTATATATTTATATACATATGTATGTGCAATCATCATAAGTCTAATATTATACATACACTTAGTTTACAAATTTCAATTACAACCGCTTGAGCTTATGGGTAAGCTTCTGCCGCTGACGTGTATTTTATGTAAAAATAAAAGTATAAAAATAAAATAAAAAAAATTAAATGAAAACTAGAAATACAATTTTCTTTTGCGGTTCCTTCAATGTGTATATGTTTTCTTATATTCATTTTTTATTTTTTCTCTCTTCTTGTGTTTCTTTTTTCCACTCTACAGTTGTGTTCATGAGACGCGCGTCTGATGAATGTTTTTTGGTTATGAAATAAACGAACAAAAATCTGTCCATTTTAGCCATGTGCAAGTCGCAAAATTAAATTTAAATGCTTAAACGAGAACCATAATTAATGTTGTAATATTGTACAGAATACATAAATAAAATATATAAAAGTTAAAACCGAAAATTGTCTTTACAATCCTAAGAAAGTTAGCTTCTAGAATAGTCTCTGGCAACGAAAAGAAGTGTTTGAGCTATTTTAAATTAGTTTTCACACTACACCCGTCGATAGCTAAAAAGCAAGTGACCCGCCAAAAGCTAGAATGACGGTAGGATCCAGCAGAGGTTCAGGCGGTTAACGAGGAGATCAAGGCCTTTATATCCATCGACGGAATTAGGGGGCTACACTTATGTCCTCAACCACTCTAACTATGATTGGCATGTGGAAACAGGATACCGTGGTTCCGATGTTGAAATTAGGGAATCCCGCCGACAAAGAGCGCTAAATTCGTCCATTGTCCATAATTTTGCCAGTAGTGCAAATATTGTAGATCTTGCATGGCTGCTCTCGTCTCTCATCCAGTATTTGAGTTGGGCATTGCAGCAGTATATCAGTACATCAGTATCACGAATCACGAGCGCTGTAAAGACCAAAATAATTAGCGACCTAAACCAAAACCGAGCATGCCTTCCATCTTTTCAAGAGCTTTGAACCTGATGAAAGCTTTCAAAACATACTAATAATCGAGTATATTTCTGATATGGAATTTAAGCTTCTTACATAAATTTCATCAACGCTTTGGAGGCGACACACCACAAATTTTAGGAGGAACTCGACGAAAAATCGTTCCAGCGTTTATCATGCGTCAATTACGTACATATAAATATATATAATTAATGGGTAAACAGGTCCATTCCTGAGCCTTAGATTACTCTCCTTTATTTTATTTTTCTCGTATGAAAAAAATACAAAAAACTCCACAAAGAAGAGCTTTTCATTACCCTGGACTTTGAATAGTAACTCCACTTGTCGCAGATAAATAAATACACCAGTTCTTCATTTAAGATCTCAGCACGATTTCTTCACTTTTATTTCTCTTCATTTTGCATATTTCCTTTTTTAATTTATTTGATTCATTTATATTTAAATTAAATTAATTATTTTTAATATGGCAATTAATGTTCTTCTCTCCACTTGGTTTTACTGCTTTAACATGAATTTTTCACACACACATATGTATACATACATACATACATATGTAAATGTATAATATATCAAAGTGAATTTAAGATTTATTAAATAGTAACTAAATTTATGCGCTGCTGTGCGTTTCACATACAAGTATGCATATGATATACTAATATATGTATGTATATGTATTATTATTTGTATTACATTTTCTTCGCTAATTTGTATATATCCATTATTTAAATGTACATATATTTATTTGTAGGTAGTTATGTTTGTATATGTTTAGTTTCAATTTTTGTATTTTTTTTATTTTTTAAATTCAAATTTTGATTATGTAAGTTCTAGAATAATAAAATTAAACACGATTGTGTAAATAAACACTTATTAACTACAACAACAGACAATACATACATATTATAAGCGATTCAAGGATTTCTCTTTTAAATATATATGTACTTATTCAATAAAATTTGTATGGAGTTGTTTTAGTTTTTTAATTTAATTTTAATTGGGCTCCAACAAAACAGCGCAAATTGTTTTTTTTTTTTAATTTTTTATTTTTGTTTTTTAATTATTTGTATTTTACTAATTTATTTTTTATTGATTTTTTATATTTTTTATATTAATTAATATTTTTTGATTGTGAATAAAACTAGAAAACAATAATATACACTTCATACATACAAAATACACGCTAAATATTTATATTTGTCACCATATATTCTTTGTTTTTAATTATAATCATATTTGTTTTAAGAAAATACAAGTAAAATGTACAACATTTACAATAATAATGCGTATAAGTGACTAACGCAAGGACATCCATACAAACATGCGCGTTGAAGGGGTGGCATTGGTGGTGATATGAGAAAAATTCAATTGATTTAGGTTAAGGTTTCGAAAGCATTGTTTTTGTGGATTTTTTAAATTTTATTTTTAAGTTTTTTTCTTTTGTTTTTTTTTTTTAATTTTTTTAGTTAATTGCTTTTTAGTAGCAAAAAGATATTTAAATTCTTCAATTTGAAAAATTTTTAGAAAGCGTTTTTGTGTTGAATTTGATTTTGTGTTTAATATAAATTTTTAAAATATTTTTTATATTACATTTCATTATATTTTTGTTATATTAGTATATTTTAACAAATAAATTTTGGCTCAGGCTTTTCTTTTAATAAATTTTTGTTCGCCCCACACGCACATACCCAGCTTACTCAGCTACAATATTTTACTATTTCACATACAATTAAACAAATATTTATTTTCACAGCGCTAAGCACTCACATTGTCGTATGTTTCTATGGTTGGCCGCGGCGCATGCGTCATTGTAAGCTTGCGAGAAGAATGTGTGAACTGCTAAGTGCAGCCTTGTGTGGCAGGGTTTACACACAACGCTGCACAACGCATTTCCACTTATTTATAATTTTTTTGTTATTATTTAGTAAATAGTTGATGCTCTTTTATTCACTTGGAAAACCACTTGCTATTAACTTTACATAAATATACCTACACACTCGTACATAAAGTGACACAGTTACTATGCACTATTTATTTAGTAATAAGGAATACAACAGATTTTTTGCTGATATTTCTTTATGATAAATATTTAAACTGCAAGAAAGTTGCTCAGCTATTAAATTAACATTTACATACATACACACATATACATATTTATATACATATAATGTTTATACTATAGTTTTATACACAATTATAAATTAAAAAACAAGCACACACACATACACACATACACACACACACACACATGCAAACACACGCACACACATACACACACATTCACATATATTATTAAACTCAGCCTAAACATCTCTGTGCTCTATTATCTATGAATATATTAAATATAAACAACTTTACAAAAGCATTTAGAACATACATATATACATATGCATACACACATACTTAAAACTTAAACACGAATTAACTTCATTTACAAATTGAAATTGCTATATTTTATAGAAATTATTTATTTTTTTTTTTACATAGATTAACACCAACAGCGTTAAAATAACTATTTTTATGATTAATTTAATTTTTTTTTTACTTATTTATTCATTGTGTATTTTCGTTTGGTGAAGAAGTCTTATGATTTTGCCGCTTACAGTTGACGAGTTCCATAACTCCGTTGTACGCTGACACAAAAGGACCAAATGTCCCAACAAAAAATATATATATATATTTATATGTATAGAGCATATTTCTTCAAACATTCCACATATGTATTTACTGTAAGTATATCATTTGCACAAATATTCAAATACATACATATAAACAAAAGTGTTGCTTGTATGCGTTGATTACATATTTACACATGCAAATTGCGGTTTTTGTATTTACTGTTTTTTTCTACTTTAGTATAAATTTACACATTTGCTTTTATATAATTTTAACCAAAACTAGTCTGGTGTCGGCTGACTAGATAAATTTTTGTTTGTTTACTTCTAGTTTGAATTTTTCTTAGTTTTGCATTTTTTTATTTGTTAAAATTTCTTTAGTTTTTTCATAATTTCGATCTGTTTAGCGTGTCAATTGGTGTAGTGATTTTGTGTTTGAAATTAGCAGAAATTTTCAAACATCGAATGATGCATATTTCACTTTGAGCGAAATATACTACAATTTTTCTAGCGAAATATGTTCGTTGTGTGTATGTGTGTGTGGGAAGTGTGTGCGACAAGTGCTGCTTGAGATCAAATCCTATTACATAAAGGATTTTAAAACAAAAATTTAAAAGTTATGCACAAATGAATTTCGTTTGAAAAATGTTCCACCAAAAAGCGCTGTACTTTGAAAAAAAACTGTATTTACAAAGTTTTCTAAAAGAATATTCTATGCATTCCAAAATTGTATCAAACAAACACGCTTTATGGTTTGACAAAGAAAAACTCTTTGGAGACATCTTTTTGCAATATTTTGTAATAGTTTTGCTGTTGTTAGAATGAACTACAACAACTGTTTCTCAAAATACCAACAATTTGCACACGAAAAATTTATGGAAACGTCATATTTTCCTGAGAGTTCCTGCACCACCGTTAAAAAGTGCACGCGTGTTCCGTTCGTAGCGTTTAAATAAATAAGAAAACGCCGCGAATAAAAAATTATAAAAAAATCATTTCTATTGACTTTTTTCCAATACATACATACATATGTGTGGAAAATTTTAGAGGAAATAAAAAATATGTACTTTCTTCTAATTTCTCATAAAAAAAACTTTGCCCACAGCGTTGTTCGCTGATGCGCTGACTTCGCGAGGAAAATAATTGCGCTCTTCCCTTCTCCCCAACATACTATGCTTTAGCCCATATAATATTTGCATACAAAGTCTCTACTCCTTTTACACATTTTTCAACAAACTCTTACACAAAAGCCAGTTTCAAACTGTTTACCACTTCCCCCTCGTCTACACCGCTACACTAAACGATACTTTCACGATCGCGCGCGAGCGCCGCTGATGTTGGCATATCGCTGAAGACGTGCGGCGCATGCACACCGCTCGGCACCACGCGGCGCAACGATGCCTCGTTTGCACGTTTGCCACTACCCTGTAGAATGCGCCACAGCCATGACGTGAAGGTACTGCCGTTGCGTGTAGTTGTTGTAGAGCCCGGTATCACCGAGCTGGATGCCGATTGACTACCATCGATGTCCGCCGCATAGCTAACGCTATTATGAGCAGTATGACCAGTGTCACCGCAAAGCCGTGCGCTGTTGACGGTATTCCCGAGAGTCATTATATTTGTGCTTGGGTGTTCGAGAACTTCGAGGGAATGCCAACGTTTCTTGAGCGCCAAAATCTCGTCTGGCGGACTAGTAAGTGATGTCTGCCTCTGTAGGAGCGGGGATTGGGCATCCTCTTCGATGGTCATGCCGCCGTTGCAATTGTTATTAAGATGCTTGTAAGACAGCAATGCGGCACCAGTTGACCGGCCAGCTCCGTCACAAGCACTGCCGCTGGATAACGCGCTGCTGGCATGACTGCTACTGCGTCGACGATTTAAAAGTGTGGATGCGACGGGCACTATGCTCGGCTGCAGGCTGCCGCTGTGTCCATAACGTAAACCGCCGTTATCACGCATCAGCAGCCCAACATCGTCGTCGTAGTCTTCACCATCCATATTATTGGTATTCACATCCGGCTCGACGTCCTCGGCTTCTTCCGCATCCGCCTCGTCGCCCTCAATACCATTAATATTCGCATTTTGGAAGTTCGTAGTCTTACTTTCCCTTATGCCCAGCGCTGTAACTACGTCCAACGAACGCGAGTTGTTCTTAGACAATTTGGACGGCGGTAATTTAACGGGCTCATGACGCTTTCGTAACTGCATTGGCATGGGGTCGAGTGAGCGGGTTTCACGCAGCAAAATCGTTTGCGCCACAGTGGGATGCCTGCTGATATCGCTGAACTCCTGTATGGAGACCGAGGCAGGCAGGTTTTCACTGATGATGCGTCGATGTGGACGCACCAAGGCGAGAGGTTTGTGGCTGGGTGAGCTGGTGGCGGAATGTGGTGGCGCTCGTTGTGCACCTACCTGCAGCGCACTGCCAATAATGCTCGTTATACCAATGCCGCCAATCAGACCGCTACTGTCGCCAGCACTATCGGCGTCACCATACCCATTTACGCAATCATTATCACAGTTCGTTTCAGTTTGGGAATGCTCCAGCGTGTTGCGTGAGGCGTGCGCCGAATCCAGTAGCGTGCAAGTTTCACCCATACTTCCACTGCGATCACCACAACCCACACCTCCGCCAGCACCAGTGCCAGCATAGCCGCCATAGTAACTCATGCGCTCCGGTATGCTATTGCCACCAATCCCATTCAGTGAGGGGCGGTCCTGGCGACGCGATGATAAATGCGGTGAATCGCGCGCCACGTGGTATGTGGAACCTTGTAGGCTATAATTAGACTCAATATCGGTGCGCGGTATCATTGAGGTGCGTCGCGAGCCACCGGCGTAGTAGTGCATGCCTACAATGCTGGGTTGACGAGAATCGCTGTTAAGTTTCGGACTCTTACGTGGCCGACAGAAGAGTGGCGGTGGCATGTCGGTCATGTCGACTGGTTTCTTCTGTATAGCCTTCTCGGTAGCGGCCGTCAGCCAGTAAGTGACTACGTCACCTTTACCCTTCATCGATACGAGACCACGCTTCTCGGTCACGTAACCGCCGAGCTTGTCCAGCGCCTCTTTACATTTACCTGATATGTGTATTTTCAGTGCCTCGCCGTTAGATTCCATGCGTGAGGCTGTGTTCACCGTGTCGCCAAATAGGCAGTAGCGTGGCATGGTGAGACCCACTACACCGGCCACAACAGGACCGGTGTGTATGCCGATGCGTAATTTGAGCGTTTCATTCGGACGATGTGCTATGCGATGTTGTTTAACGGCGTGCAGGAGATCTAGCGCCATGGAAGCGATTTCGCCTGCATGCCGATCGCCATTCTTAATCGGCAGCCCGGAGACCTGCGAGAGAAAAAATACATATTATATATACATACATATATCATGAAATACTACTAGCGTAGACCTTATAATTGTCTATGAGAATTAATGCTTACCACCATGTAGGCGTCACCAATGGTCTCCACCTTGTACACATCATAACCGCGTATGATACGATCAAACACCGTATAGAGATCATTCAAAAAGTTTACCACCTGCAGTGGTGTACTCTCCGCGGACATAGCGGTAAAGCCGACAATGTCGCTAAAGTAGATGGTGACCTAAATATACATTTGTTTATTATTACAAAGAAAAACCTTCGTTTTATCTCCACAAACTCTTACCAGATCGTAGGACACTGGCTCGACGCCTTGACCCATTGTCAGCTTCTCCGCCACAGTACGTGGCAGCATACGATGCAGCAAGTCTTCAGTTTTTCGTTTTTCCTCACACAACATACGCGTGCGGTCGGTGACGATTTCCTCCAAGTTGTTGGCATATTTCTCCATCATTTCCATCATTTGATCCATAATATTCTTGGTTTTACCACCACGCATTTTCTTCAAACGATTCCTTATTGTGGGGAAATCCGGTCTTATTTCTGGATCCTCGCTCCAGCAATCCTTAATGCAGTCCAACACATAGTCCGGGCACAGCTCGTGTTCTCTTATGCACTCCAGTTCGGGTCGAAACGGTATGCTACCATCCATGGGTAGTTCTTTCACGCGGTCGACTATCTCTTTTGGTTCGAAGGCCACCTGTCCAAAGGGACCCTTGCGACTGACAATCTCGTACATAATTATGGCAAATGCATAGACGTCACCCTTTTGTGTGCCATAGACGCTGGGGTCACGCAACAATTCGGGTGCTTTCCAAAATTGATCTGAAAAAATTTCAAAAATATTACCATTAATTGAAGAAATGTGGGTGAATGAGGGGGAAAACTTGGCTGGTTAAGGTAAGTGGCTATTCGAAAGAAAAGCGCGCACACAGAATAAATAGAATAGGAGCCAAAGACAAAAAGTTAACTTCAAGGTTCTGCAATAATGGCATTAGTATGTTCCCAGCCCTAGCCAACTTACTTCTATAGTGTTGATGTTCGCCTATGGATTCACTTTCGGCACAGTTTCTCAGCTCGTGCAACCCGAAATCGGCCACTTGCAACATCCAACGTGAGGTCACAACACAATTCGAGGATTTCAAATTGCCATGATACATCAGCTGTGAGTTATGTATGTAAATCATACCCTGAAATTGAGATTAGAAGAATGAGAGGGAAATTATAGCCAGTGAAAACTGGTATGACCAGAGAGCTCTCTGCTCTCTCACTCACCTTAATCAAATCGTGTATGAGCGAAGCAATAAACAGATCATCCAACTTGATGTCCTCATTCTCGATGATATCGTAGAGACTGCCCTTGGCACAGTAATCGGTGACTAGTAGTATACGTGTCGGCTCCACACAAGCCCCAATAAAGCTATTGATATTATCATGCCGCAATTCGCGCAGCAAACGCATTTCTTTCATTATTTCACGCGAGATGTCGCGCTTTCGTGAGAACTTCAACTCTTTGATGCGTACGACAGCGCCGCGCAGTCGTGCCGTCGAGGTGAATACTTGATTTGAGCAACGGGAACCGAACGATTGGGCACTCACTAAACTCAGCTGTTGTTGCGTAGACACAATGGTCAATTAACGGTATTGCGATTGCCGTTTCCAGACATTTGTTGATTGGGTTACCGAGATTATTCGTAGGGTTGAAAATGTAGATTGTTTCATGGTAGCCACGAGATGTAAATGAAAGCAGAAAGAAAAATGAAAAGAAATTAGTGAACTATCAGCGAATGTACTTGCACGTACAGTGGTTGCAAATGGTGTGTAGTTTTAATTACGAATTGAAGGACGGACAGCCCGCGGTACTTAGATTGTAATTGTAATACTTGTGAGGAATATTTATAAGCGTCGAAATGGTCTTGAACTAAATTGTTTCAATAAGAAACCCAAAATAATTCGGAATGATTCCGAAATGATGTCGAACAGGTTATGAGGAGGCAAAAATATTTGAAACAGTCGCTAGGGCACGGAAAAAATTTTTAGGGTATACTGCGAACGGGGCAGTCCTAGACCTGCTAAATACCGGGTCGTTTCGGCATAAGAACCCAACCGTAGAGCGGGGGGCTATGGTGTTTTAGTCATATCTTACTTCAAGCTTCATCCAAAATGGTTTCAAATTGGTTTTGAAACTGGTATAGAGCAGTAGAACAGTTTAACTCCAAAAGATGAGTTTTGAAAAATTAGGCCAATAAAAAGTGCAGGGGGAGCAATATTGAAACCATTGTTCCGAAGCTGAAAGCTTAAAAATAAATACAGATAATTTTTTTAGATATATATATATATATATTTGGCGCTTTTGTAACCTCTGAAACAGTTTCTCCGCCAAGCTCCTCTTCCGATTTGCTGTTTGCGTCATGATGTTTTTCCAACAAATGGAGGGATCTACAATTTGTACTAAGCCAACTCCGAACGGCTGATGATTTTTTTGCGAGGAGCTTTACATCATGTCAGAAATACACTTGGGTGGACATCCCCTACCGAGGGGCGACCGCAATATATATTTTAAAATGAAGATTGTTTCTATGGCGACTTAAGCTCTTTTTAAAACATTCTACATCGGAAAGGCTTAATTTAAAGCCAACCAAACAAAAGCACAATAATTTGTAATCACGTGTGTACTTAATAAAGTGTCGCGCTCTTGCCTCGTCGAGATCACAGGACGCCTCAAGTCAATGAGAAGAGTTCACAGGGATGCCGGTAACGAGACTTTAACGAATGAAACGTGTTGTTATCCTTGCATGGATTGCTGCTTGCATGTTTATTTTCCGCTGCTTTAATTTGCCAATTCCTCCTCGCGGCTGGGGTAAACAAGCGAGCCGTTGGCGTTACAATCTCGATATCTCAATAGCAACGAACCGTTTGCAGCTTGAATGCATGTGTATATGTGTGTACATATGACTGCCTGTGTCTGCGTTCAGAAATAAGCAAATATGCTTCAAGGTATTTACCGTAAAGTCCGCATCTTTGACGCAATGAAATTGTCACGTATCTGCATTGGTCGAAACAGCGAAAAACTGCCAAAGGATGTGAGCCAATTCACGACGCGAGACAAATCTAAGTGTACGTATGTACTTATGTAAGGAAATAGCGGAGAATATAAAAATTTCCATTTATAATGACTCGTTGGCGTATTGTTGACAATGGCATCAGCGCTGATGCATGGAAGAGCATGAAGCTGGAGAAAGGTAGGCGAGGAAGGGGAGTGCGGGTGACATTGGTAAAAGAGAAGCAGAGTAATCGTATGATTGTTGTCGTAACGGACTAATTAAAATAAGTGATGTACAAAACGTGTATACAGGTTCAAATGTCATTCTTCGTTTTCACAAAATCTTATATCACAAACCCCGTGTGTTGATAACGAGCTCGAAACATACCGAGAAATGGGAGAATTATTAGAAAAAACGAAGATTTCCTGCTGCAAATTTTCTATAGCTTTTGCAAGTAGCTATCAGTCATGGGAAGAGTTGGCCTTGACAATTACGGAGGAAAAGAACAGGATGAAGGATATTCACTGAGCCTTCTCTTGCTACTGAACCTGAACTGGGAATGGGTGAAGCAGGTAGTGAAGAATGTTTCTTTTTTCTTGATCATCGTTCTCCTAAAAGTTAAATGAGCCTTACAACTTCGTAATGAAGATGAAACTTTTCTCATTTTTTACTCAAAGGCCTTGCATCAAGTACGATGCGTAGACTCTCTTGGGTACAGCCAACAAATCTTAATTATACGATAAGATGATGAACTCGAACAATATACACATATATAATATAATTTGTGCTTTGTAACCCCTATAGCGATTTTCGACCGATTTTCATGTTTGAAGATAACTAACTTATTCTAGTATCCAACTCACCTTACTTGGCGATGCGACAATGTCATTGCCCGAGTAGCCCTTTATTTCTGATATGTCAATTTTCCACAGCAGACCCTCGATCTCCAATTCGATTTTCCACTTTCGATAAATGCTCATAGTGATGACTCCAGCGCAGAATAACAGCAAACCAAGTACACCAGCCGCTACCACCGACGTGATATGTCGATCGTCTTTCTTGCACAACTCGTTGGCGAAACCACACATCGGCTCATCGAATGGACGATCACCGCCCGAAGGCCAATCAACGCGTACAGAGCCATTTATGAGTTTGTATTCCTAACAGAGAGAGAGAGAGAGAGAAAGTGGCGAAGAAGGAGAAAATAATTTTAAGCGACGAATGAACGATTTGTAAGGTCAACAACTGGGGGGACGGATGTATAAATATAATTATGAATCTATGTATGTATATGGATGAATGCTTCATGAAAAGATTTAACTCATAAATAAAGAAACTTAAAAAAATGACGACTCACTCACTGGAATATCTTCCCCTTGTTGGAAATAGGCTACGGGCACCATATGCGAATTACAGGACACATTATCACTAAAATAGTGTTTGTGTGGCTTATAGGCCAGCACGGAGAAATTTCCTTCGGAATCACCATTCTGGTCTATTTTAATGGTTGCTCCGGTGATACCTGCGAAATGATGAAAATATTTTAAATTGGGCTTTTATTTATTTTTTCAAACTGAACAGTTTCAATTTTACTTACTTCTATAAGTACGATTTTTGATAATAGTCTCAATTATTCTAGTTCCATTACTAGCTACATCGTATATCACATCATCCGTTAGTATGCGCTCCTCCTGGCGCAGCAATTTGTCCAACGCCCAGGCATAGAGCTTAACGGAATCATAGAGGTAAGCGGCATATATAGAAACAAACTGGGAAGAAAATAAAACGAAAATAACGGTAAAAAAAAAATACATTTACAATAACTACATAAACATTCCAAAAGTAGAAGGGGTGGGTAACAGGCATCTACAGTTGGAAACAATACTCGTACATCCGTTGGTTTTTAATTGAGCACGCGTGCTCACTCACACTTCACACGATGCGAAAACGAAAACAATTCACGGCTTGTTAGCATACTTATAGGCGCCTGCCTTCAAAATCAACAAACAGTCCATTGCCATTCGGCTAAATACATATATACAACTAACATTATCCTGCCCGGCCATTGACACACCTTAAATAATTTGGCATTGGCTTTTGGCTTTTGGCCTTTGGCATCTACATTTTATTTGTTTGTCAAAGGCGTACGCTGAGGAGCACTTTGTTCGTAAATTTGCGTTATTGGCAAATTAGCGTATCAGATACATTTTTTGTTTAATTTCTTCTACTCGTAAAATGAGTGCTCATTGCTGTTAAATACATTCTTTAGCTCACTAAAGGAGCCAATCGAATTAATTGACTCTCCTTCACCTCAAGAGTCTGAACGAAAATTCCTTCAACTTGAAATACCCGAAAGTGCATTTCATTTCATTTTCCGTTTTTCCCACCCACTAAAGATTACTTTAGCAGTTGATACTTCTGTCGTCTGCCTGGCATTGGGAACTTCAAATTGAGTTTCACTTTGTAAAAGTGGGTTGCCTGCTACCCAGCAAACAACCAAGCAAATATCATTTTGTGAAAGTGTTGAGAAGTTATTGAAAAACTATGGAAAAGCATCTGTGGACGTATTCCCGCTTACCTTAAGATATTTATTATGATAAAATAACGATGGCACAACGAAATCGAACGGCTTCATTGAATTATATTGACGCACTCTCGCCGTGAAATCTTCATAACTGTCCGTTGGTGGCGTCGACGCCACGACTAGCAAACTGCGCGCCAATTGCTTGAAACTCTCCGTCTCATGGCAAACCTTCATCGCCTCCACATGTTCCGGTTTGCGTAAATACTTTTCGGCTTCTCTAAAAAGAAATACAAAAAATCGATTTCAATTTTCATTCTTCACTTTCCATTTCAAATTAAATTCAGTGATTGAGTTTCGTGGGTAGAGGCGAAGAAAAAGTTGAGAAAGAAAACCAAACCAAACCAGAAAATAAACGTTAAGAAACAAAAAATTGAGCAATAAAATGTAATTTTACGCTGAACAATTGAAATTGAGGGGAAGAAGGCAATTATATTGTGGAGCATTTTATTGCAATATATTTGGAGATACATACGTGTATATATATGTATGTATGTATGTATGTGCGCGTGGAAGTAACTGATAGTGTAATTGGGGGGTGTGCTGCTTTGATTGCTAAGTTAAAAGTGTGCCTTTGCTATGTATGTAAGTATGTATGCAAGTGTGTGTAAGTGTGTATGTGTATGTGTTGCTACTCACTTTGGTGTATAGGGCATCATATCGACAAAGATGACCATGTATTCACCTTTGAGGAATAAATTGGCCGTTTCCATGGAAAGCATAAAGTCGACCAGTGAGCTCGCCGAGCCAAGGAATACATAGATGCGGGTACGATTCATAGTATTTTGTACAGTCTGCAATGAAATAACAAAAGAAAAATTTGAGAAAACGAAAAAGGAAATTGTTTGAAAATATCAAAACTTTAAATGGCCTGCACAAAGTTAATTAACTAATTGATGTTACCCAAAAAGTTCGCTAACAGTGTCTTTTCACCAAAGATGCGTATGTAGGCTTTATGAAAACTTACCTGATACCAGAAACTGGTACGACAGCATGGCAACCCTAATGCACAACATTTTGGCATATTTGTTAGAAATGATTCCTTATGATTTATTGTCATATTCCTTTTGGTCGCCTGTTCTTTGAGCAAATCGGCAACTGTCGTCCATAGCTCGTCATGCAGAATGGAGAATTTCTTCCAGCCATAGTAACGTAATAGCGAAATGACTGACTTAATTACCTGAGAAACAGAAGAAAAGAAAAAAATTTTACATTTGAAAAAAAAAAATGATAAAAATTGAAGAAAAAAATTGTGCTTGATTCAGCTTACAATTACATTTTCACACTGAATTGAATAATACAACAATATATTATATGGCTGATGTTGGCGCAGTGGTAGAACACTCGCCTGTTAAGACAGGATCCGTTGGTTCGATCCCTGCCATAAGAAGTCAGATGAGGAGATGTGGTGATCTCCGAAACAGCTGTCTCTTCTACAATTTTTCTTTGTTGTATAACAAATATTCAATTCATACAAACAACCAAGACTCGTAGTTTACTTAATACTTATATCAAAAAATTACTGTGGAGCATGGCCGCAAAAACAAATTATAATTTTTTATAATTTGAGATTTTAGCCACACCAGAAGTCGAATCCTGGCCATCCAAACCTTAGTTTGCAATGCTAAACACTTGGCTATTGTGGCCGCTTTCACAACCTTAAAAAGCTTTAGTGAAGGATAATGCTTCGAAAGGAAAAGAGCTCAATGAATTTCACATCAACTGCAAAATGGAAAGTGCATTAAACCAAGCACAGGCAAGCTGACGAAGCCAACCGCTGGCCAAGTGCCTGCCTTGCACAGAGACAACGGCTATCAGCTATCGCTGGTTCGTTAGTGATTCATAGTTTTTTCAGTTTTCTTTTCAAATCAAAAAGTAGCCCGAACTAAGTTTGCGTATGTCCGCCTCATCCTGTTGTCTGCGAGTCTACAATCACCAACAGAAAGTTGTTCAGCCTGCAAATGCCTGCACAGCTGGATTGTGTGCGGAGCAAATGTGAAGTATGGATAACTAAAGTGGAATAAAGATTGCTTAACATATTTGCTTGTGCACATACAAAGCAGGACACTTTTCAATCTCGTTTCGTTGTGCCTTTGTCACAGTTTGTTTGAGCAACACGTGCGCTCTGCGCGTTAACTAGTTTCTAATGTTTGCACTTGAGAATTTCTAGCAAAACGCCATTGGCATGCAGCCTGCGGCTTGTACCGAGTGTGTATATACGAGTATGTATGTGGGCAGCAGGCCAACTAACTTACCTGCGTATCTGGCGGCTCTGTACGTGCAAATGTCGGTATGGCAGATGCTCTGTATTCAGCGCATTTCTGAAAAAAAGAGAAAATAACATGAAAAGAATTAATGAAAATGGAATTTAAATTAGTAAAAAGTCTTTTATTTTATTACAGCAACATTATTATGTTGGAATTAATGATGGCTTAGACGTGTGTGCAGTAATAAGGACACAAAGCATAGCAAATTTGGAGAGTGGAATTTTCTGCTTCTCCTACTATGGACCACTCTTGGTTAGGGCGTTAGGGCTGATGCAAATCTATTACTAACCTCACTCAACATATGATATATATGTTTTGTAAAGGAATGATGGAAAAAGTTCGATAGAGACTGAAAACATTGTTCTCTTAATATTATAGAGATTTGCAAAAAGGGAAGACCTTCATAAGAGACTGATATGAGACCTTCGATTTCAGCGATATCCGAAGCAGAAATGAAATACTAATAAATTCAATTTTGGATATTGAGCACTCTTGTGGATGAAAATAATTGAGTTAGAAGTAATTGAGATCTCTTTAGTAGTTAAGATAATCAATATACAGCCAAAAACTCTCCTATGAGAAACTTTTTATTTGTATAAAAAAAGTTATGTGCATTTTTCTGTATTTCCCAAAGTCACTCACCAATCACTCCGTCTTTAGCTTAAGGATGGGGTGAAGATTCGGGGATCAAGCCTACTTCTTTACTTCTTTTAATTTAATTAAAAAACAAGATCAAAAGAAACAAAATCATACACATATACATCAGAACAGAAAAAGCATACGATTTAAATGAAAAAAACCTTTTTGGCACATTGAGTGTGCCACTCAAGAAGCTATGACCCCAACGAGCTTCGTGCACTGTGTTCACTTCGCAACACTTGTTCTTCATTTTATACCCATTAGAATATATTCGTAAACTCTTTTCTCATATTTACATACATCTTCAGTGAAGAAATCGGCCGCACCTGCTGGCACACACAGCAGACTCACGGACAAATTATTGATTGTTGCTATTTGCTGAGGCTCGGTTGGGCGTAAGCAGGAAAGTGATGCATTTAGTTAAAGCCTTCCGGCATGTCTTGAGAGCACACCAAAGGCGCAAACACACACTCACACAGACACACACACATTGACATTTACATAATTAAAATGATACATATGTACATACATACATGCTTGTATATGAGTGGGGCTAAAGCACACATACATCCAAATGTGGGTGTGGTGAGGATAACGACAAGGACATGTTTCGCATTTTGCTTACGCATTTCAGCATGGCCATTTGATGGTTGCCACTAAGTGGAGGAAAATCACATGCAAATTTGCTTGTGCGCTAAAGTGTGTGTGTGTGTGTGCGAGAGTTGTGCTGTGCAAAGATGAAAGGGAGCCGGAGGACATTTACAAGATTAGACGATTAAAGATGTACGGCGACAAGCGCAACTAAGATTTGTTCTCATAAAACCACCGTTTAAAGAGCAGTCTCTCTCATCAACTATTGCTACTCACATATGATATCATTGGAATGTTGCGACTTTGCGATACAATAGCCTCCACATAGCAATGACCCTCCGGACCGAATATCGTCACAATGCCATCGCATATCATTTCGGTTATGGCTTTGGTAGCAGTTACTGTGTCACCTTTTGTGTCATTCCAGCGCAGTTGCAGTCTAACATTTGGCAGCAAATTGGCGTCGTCGTTGATCTGAAAAAGATGAAATAAAAAATTTTGCAAAATTGAAAATAAATTGAAAAACAACAGTAATGAAATTTTTTATTCGCCTTCTTACCTCATCTAAAGCCATTGTGAGTGCACCTGAAATGGCCAGACCCTGCTTGTCCATTAGCTCACCCGTAATGGCTGTTAGATAGCCAACATTGAGTATGGTCCTATTTTGTTCGTCGCGCAACGCTATAACACCCGGTACACAGAATACTGCCACCGAGAGCAATAATACATAATGAAAGGGCCAACGCGTCATGGCCCCTTAGGCCGGGGCCGTTCAGCGCGACACCTATGAGGGAGAATTTTTTAGCTCTGAAAAGAGAAAAGAAAATTTTATTGGTAACTGTTGTTTTTAAAAATTGTTTTTATATACATATGTACATATATGTATTTTTATTTCTCAGTTAAAAGCTTTTTTAGTTTTATAAAACATTAAATCTCGTTGAAAAATTATTTATTATAAAGACAATCGTTATTCATTAACAAGATTTGGGGCATGGGCAACTTCCGCTAGATTGAACGTGGGGGCGACTGCGGATCGAACATTACTAATTTGCAGAATTTAGAAACGGTTTTTTGGAGTAAGCCGAAAAGCTTAGCCAAACTGAGTAAAAATCAAGTAACAGCTGTCAGAAAGACCAACCGATAAAAGTATGGCCTCGTTGGAAACTACACATTTAAAAAGACACCCTGTTTTGTAGGCAAAGACAAGCTTGTTCCAACTAATTGTGATTATGAGGCAAAAAGCTTGTGACAATTATGGCCACAAAAAGTTGAACTTCAAATCACTTCTCCATTGCCAAGTAAGAGGCGAATTTCAAATTGTCACACAAGACTGCTGACAGAATAAAAGTACAAAAACAGGCAAACTTTAATTGGGCTAATTTTAAAGAGCAACAAAAATCTGCTGCAATCCAATGCCAACTACAACTAAAAAGTTATGTTCTCAAACAGAAATGAGCAAGATTACATTACAAGACGAGTCACTGAGGCAAGGCACTATGAAAGATGTCAGCAAACAAACAAGCATATTCACATACAAACAACACATGACAACTCAAAGGAAAAACCAACTGAGCAAATAGCCTAATGATGCGAATGTGTGTATTTCAATGAGCGTGATTGAAAGAAGGGAGATGAAGTGGAATGTGAAGACAAAGCCTCCCTCTAACTAAGCTGTAATTACTAGAGAAGATTGGAGACAATGTCTATACATATGTTTATGTATGTATATATGCCAAGATTTGTGTTTGTGTTAATTAGTATTTGATTCAATATCGAGTAATTAATACCAAACACAGCTGTGGTCAATATGGGAACTAATTTTCCTTTTCGGCATTTAAAATCAAATTTGCAAGAAGAAACTAATTCAACGTTCACACACGGGAATCAGCTATGCACATTAGGAAAACTTCCTGACAATGAATTTGATTGTGAGAGTGTTGTTACATTTAATAAAATTACATATATTTTTAAGGATAAAGTGAATAAATAAATAAAATTGGGACTTTGTAAACGCCGAATCGTTTTCGGCTGAGCTCCTCCTCCAATTAGGTTTGTGCCTTCCGATTGGTAGTATGAACTGCTGAACATTGGGCAATTGTGACCGACACTACATGCCTCCCTTCAGGGTTTTATAAAAAGCCATAATGGACTGCGGATGTGCTCTGTGGGGTAAGCCTACTCAATAATGCATTTAAGCATCTTAAGAGCTTATTGTGTGGAGGATTAAAGCCCAAGAGCTTATTGTGTGGAGGATTAAAGCCCACCGTCAACATACTCACAACCCCAGAAGCACAGTCAGAAGTGGAAAAAACGTAAACTTTCTCGTCGAATAAAGACCAAACTCTACCCGTCACTCATCATTCACCCACTGCTATATGGAGCGGATGCATGGACGATGACAACATCCGATGAGGTGGCGTGGGGAGTTTCTGAGAGAAAGGTTTTGCGTAAGATTTATGGTCCTCTGCGCGAATATCTTAGCTGCAAGGGACATTGTCATAATTCAGTGACAAATATAGTATCATTACTTCGTGTGACCATTCTTGGTCACAGATGATCTTAAATGCGTTTTGTTAAGTAAGTAGGATCACTTTGAGATTTTACAAACTGTTTAGTAGGAAAAGTTTTCTCATCGGAGAACAAAATTTTCGGAAATTCGTCCCGATCGTACAGGCGCAATAGCGCCTTTCTTCTTTCGGGTTTATTTTATTTGTTTGTTTTGGATTTACGATGTCATTGGTGTGAGTTTACTTTCTAATTCACTTCCCTTTAGTGAGCTCGCAGGTGTATTAAGGCAACTGAGAAAACGCTTAACGTTAATCGGCATTTTGTGCTTCTAAAGCTGCTCTCCGTTGCTAAGAGCTTTTAAAGCTTTTAAACTATCACTGAGTCTTTGAGTATCGTTTTCAATAAAGCTTTAGTATAAACTTAAGACTAAAAAATGTATAGTTTCTCTATCTATATAAGAGCAAGATTCACAAGTTTGCATGGAGGTCTTATGAACCACTTAAATGCACTCGAGTTTATTTACAAAAAACCTAAGGAACCCCTTATGACTAAGCTTTTTATTTTGAAGTAGGACTTTTCTAATTCTGGTTTTCGAAAATCAAACTCATTGCTGCGGTTTTATTGAGCTTTTTTATTGTTTCAAAATATTGCATCTATAGAAAGGTATAGGAAAGGTTTTTAGAAAGAATATCCCAAATAGTAGAGGTAGAGAGCTGGGCTTTTACATGACATTTGCATTTTTGCGATTTTCATTTTACAACTTACAAACATATGGCACTTGACAATTTTGACTGCAGGTAGGCGTTAGCGCACGAGGATCACAGTTTTGCACGCATATTAAGCCCCTGAGAAAGCACAACATTTCGACTACTTTTTTCACTTCTTTTGCATTTTCTTCGCCAACGGCAAGCTGTGCTTCAACTGCGACACCTCGCATTTTTCACCCTTGGTGGGTGTCGGCAGACCCGAGGGATCGGGTAGTAGAAATGAGACCTCGTAAATGTGCGGCGTACTCGAGTAGATATCGTGATTCATATTCACAAACCAATTCATCATGTCGTACATGTCGCGAATGCTGCATTGCGAGACCACAGCACCCGCGTCACGTCCATGCTGATGTGAATCGAAGAAGGTGACAATATTGCGTGGAAGCTCGATGACGAAGAGCACAGTCCGATTGTCGGAAATCATTGCGGCGAAAAGGAAATGCTCGTTCGCCTTGCCTGCCTGACGAAACTGCTGCAGGCCGGTATTCACAGCCTGTAGCAGACGCAACGCTATCGTGCGGCACGACTCACGCTCCGGATCGGCTTGCATGTGCGTAAAGAACCATTCCTTCAGACGAAAGTGCGGTTGGCTTTTTAGCACAGTCAATGCGTCCGGTATGTTAAGATTTTGATTGGTCGACGTCGTTGCTACGGACACTGCAGTTTCGTGAGACGGCTGGGTTGGCGTGATGAGATGTGCATAAGCATGGTTGCCTTTATTGATTGCTTCGGCAAAGATATCGACAGCACGCGGCGGTACATCTTGCATGCGTTGGCAATAGAAACCACGTCCTTCTTTCGCAACCATATCGGCCAGGATGAGTGTGATTAGAGTGCACGAATTGGTGCCGCTGTGATGGTATTCACCGTAGCGCGACTGACTGAACTCCTTGGGGAACCACCAGATATTCAAGTTGCCATTGCGTTCCAGCACCGCCATGACAGCCAGACGACCAACAGGACACTCGGTTAGTATGGACGTAAATTTCTTGCCGTTAATTGGGTCTACAAAAAACACTTTTTACATATTAAACTGACACAAGTGGAGATTCTGGTTGCCGCTGCTCGCCGTTACTACCCGCACGCCGTACCCGCACTTTTTTCAATTTTGAAAATTTGCTAATTTTTGTTGTATGTTTTTGGTCTAAAATTTGATGTTACATTGAGGAGGAAATTTTGTTTGAAGAAGAAAAATATTTGAAGGAAAAATTTGATTAGAAAATTATCTGTCTCCGTTTTTTTTTTTTTTTTTTTTTTTTTTGATGGAAATTCACATGTCGCAGCTGTGAGTGGAAGGGCGAAGGTTTTAAGCAAAGTAGTAGTTGACATATTTACAATGAAAGGCATGCGAAATTTTGGCTCAAAAATTTCGCAAACAAAAAAAATGTCAGTGTCCATTGCTAGCCAAATATTTGTAGTTGGAATTTTTTTTTGGTTCTTTCCCTCAGCACATTAGTATGCGCCTGAAATCAGGCAACGGTCAACAGTACTGAAATTTAGCATATTTAATGTAAGCAGTAAAATTTTAAAATGGCAAATGGAGTGCAAATTCAGTTGAAGTTATACGTGGCACAAGCCTGTAGTACATAGTATGTACAATATATGCAAATATACAAATATATCCTGAATTAAGCCGAAAATACGCAAACAACTGAAAATAATAATAAATCTAAATTTCGTTTATTTTTTCTATATTTTGCTTGTGAGTTTAGTTTAATTTTTTGCATGAAAATTTTATCTAGCATAATTGGTCAACATTGGTAGTGGAATATAAAAAAGTATGCTGTAAAGATTCAGCTGAAGTAATTGCTGAATTGAATTTGTGCAAGCGGAATTCGATTTCGAAAGCCATATCTTAATAAGTAAATAATTTTCTGAAAGTTTGAATTGAATGTTAGCCTCTTCCTCGATTTAACATGAATAAATATACATTAATACTGCCGCGCTGAACAAAGTTTCTCCCATTTAAAATGCAGTAGGAGCAAATACTTCGCTGAATATCTAATAAATTCTATTAAAAGTTTATACTATTTGCATTATTAGAAAAAGCTTTACTGACCAGATGGATCAAATGTCACCTATATATTATTCTCACGCAGTAGCTGAATATGTGCTGAATTTGATCTATTGGAAAAGAATTTGTAACGCTTTAGTAAATATGTTCCACAAATGGCCTGCTGAATTAGATCTTTCAATCATATTCGTGCTGAATTGATTATTGGCTTATTTTCTGCTATTCTATTACCGTAAATGGCGTTTTGAAGCTGTTCAATTATAAATTAAAAGACTTCTATAAAAGATTTACAAATTTTTTAAATAACTTTTGCGATTTGTAAAAGAAGTATTATTATTATCGTCATTTTTTAAACATTCATTATTTGTGACGTAACACATAAATATAAAATCCGCAAAAATTCTTACACGAGCTTACATTTTCAAATAAATTGACAGCCTAAATCGTTTTTTCTGCTGGTTCATTTAATATAGATTAAAAAAGTATATAAATATTCATATACATATGTATACATGTATGTAAGTACATATACATTTATTTGAAACTAGTTATCGCACTTAACACTTGCATTCGATTTATTCATGCTAAAATCTATTTTTAGCACATACTTCGACGTAATTTACAATCGCCACGTTCAGTTCGTATGTATGTACATGTGTGTGTGTGTGTACATATGTATTTGAAGCGCTTATTTTTAGTATTTATTTATTGCTGTGGACAGTAACAACAACAGCAATGGCGCACGATCGCCTGTTATTTTTAGCAAAGCGATAATTACCAAATGCAGCTGCAAAAGCTCTAAGTACGCTTAAAACGCTTTCAGAAAAAATTCTGAAATTGAAAAAGGCAATATTGATATTTTTCTTATGCAAATTTCCCAAATGGATACCATAGGTTTCGATTACACCCACGCCCATACACACATACATATACGTATACACACATGAATTGATTGAAGCGCTGAATATCTGACTACTGACTACAATATTCTGTTCAGTAATCTACTCGTCTGAACCTTTTTGTTGTATCTTCCACGCAGCAAGTCATGTTGGAGTGTGTATGGGCGGTGTATGACGTTGAAACAGCAACATCTCAGCTAAACTGGTATTAAATCTCCGTTTATCAGTAAATTTAATTATTATAAAATGCATATGTATCGATTATGGTTATCGCACACCTCTAGATCGTTACCAAATGCTAGCTCATATCTTTACGACTCTGTTTACACTTGAAAAGCGATTGCCTGAGCAAGCAAAATCAAAAGAAATGAAATTCACTCAGCCAAACATATTATATGTATATGCAGACATACATACATACATATATATGTACATTAGCAGAACGTAAGTTAAGTGCATTGTTGTGCTATTTTTAGCTGCGAAGCCTTTAAACGCGATACTTTACTATACTTTTATTACCGGAGCAGTCAGCGCACACACTCGACGAGAGCACTTCAAGTGGCCACCCCCCCCACTGCCCCTCGGCAGTACTGCGGCAAGTGCGGGTGTGAGTACGGGTATTTATTGTCAATTAGTATTTCCTTCACTTTTATTTTCATTGCATTTGTTGTAATAATTTTTCAATTTAGTTATGCGCTTAGATGTGTTTACATATTTATTTACTACTTGAAAGTACTGTACTCGTGTAAGTTGTAAATGTGTAATATATTCTCTAAATTATTTCGAGTATTTCTTCTTCAAAATAATTTATTTACTCTCAATAAATGTCAACATTTAACTATTAGCAGACCCAGCAGATTTATTCTTCTCCTTTCTAATTTAGACAGCGATTACGCGATTATAGCCTTTTTTCCTTGTTTGGCTCCTATTGAAAATACTAAGTGCAGACAGATCGCTCTGCACCCCTCTACCCGTGAGGAGTCTTGGATTACAATTAAAAGAGAAGAAGCTTCCGTGGAGTCAAGGCAGCATATTCGGTTTAAGGATTCGCTGAAGTCTAATGTAGCGTCTGTTTACCAGATGTACGGGTGGGACCGTAGGACAGATGTCATCAATTACAATCACTATCCCTTCTACAATGAAAGCAGTAAAAAATTCGAAGAAACATATAAAACAGATTCCCTGAAATCGTGATCTGTAGCTCTGGCTGATCTCAGGCAATACTTCCAAGCTTTTGGAGTTCTATAGTATTTTCCAGGGCCATCCAACTGACTCTGAACCACTCATTTGATCTAGCCGAATTAAATTTGTCCACCCTATATCCGGGACTAGAAAGAACCAGATGCCTACACAAGGCACAATCAGCCAGCTTAACCTGACATAACTTATTCCAAATTCTCTATTTTCGCATTTATCTGCTGCTTGCTTGAGTGTTTTTTCATTGCCGCGAGAAATATACACACCGCATCGAGTAATTTAGCTCATGAATAATATTTAACACTTTTCACATTCACATTTCATTTGCTTATATTTTTGTCTGACTCCTCACATTTTTAGCTTACTACAAAATTCTAATTTTCATTTTCACTTGATTCCTAGCCACAATACGCTAGATCTGCACCCTCCTTCCTGAAGTTTTTGGGCGATCCAACAACTGATGATTGGTGGCGCACCAAGGTCTGACATATGTACTTAGCGTTAAGCAGAGGCCCAAAAGCAACAACAACCACCAAAGGAATTCGCATCATAAAGAATCTTTCATACAATGTTCGGCAAAGCATTATATCCATACTGCGGAACACCATTAATAAATCAGAGCAGAGTCGGTATTTCGAGCAAAGATGGGTCGATTTCGCACCACGTTTGCTCTAATGGATTGTGGACATCCTCAGAGAGGCCGTACACTGCGCACCGAAGATTATATTGCTACTCAGTGGACAGTGGAGCAGAGTGTTGCAGAAGTCCAGATGAATTTATTGAAGTGAACTTTTGGTGGGCCTGTGTTGTGGGCTCTAAAAGTGTGTGATTTAATATCACTGGTCTATTGATAGTGGAGTTATGTGTGTCTACCCGAGTATAGCCCAAGGCGATTGACGCTTTTTAAGAGAATATTTGATATTTGAATACCCCGCAATCGCTGCAAAAATGGTCGAAAATTGGCAAAGTCTTTCAATTCTCCATAGAAAAGGTAGCCATGGTAAGATAATCTAGAAACTTCGATTGTGGACTCCAATACAATTTTACAAGCAATACATATAAGACTTCACCATCGGAGAAGCCATGGCCTTGAAGCAACATAAATTTTAAATGCTTACTAAATATTGCAAAACAATTCTTAAAAAAAGTGACAGCTTAGAATTATTGGTATAAGCAGACTCGCAAGTAATGTACGTGGTCACAAATCCATTTTTTAATTAATTTAAAATCATAAAACTAAATATTATGATAACATCGAATATACAATAAAAAACATAGAGTAATGTTAATAATATTAGGCAAACATTGAAGCTTTTTAATTATTATGCATGAATAGCTAGTAATAACAAATAATTAAAAATTAATTGCAAGTTAAATCCTTACAAACGAAAATGTGTGCAGCATATTTTAAGGCGCTGAAGCTTGTAAATTTCGCTTTTTGTGCATTTTCAATAGAATTAACTATTGCCTAGGCTGCACTAGGTAAGCAGATAATGCACATACACTTAAAATTCACTTTGTGCGCTCAAAAGTATGCCAAGTTTTGTGTAAATCACTTAAATTTCCAAGTATGCGAAGTCTTAATTCCTTTTGCTGGCATAACATTGCACACGAACACGTGTTTAAGAGAATTTTGTATATTTCGAGTAGTGAATATATAAATATATATATATATACATACATATGCAGGTGTGTGAGTATGTAAGTATATACGTATGAAGACTGTCGTGCACTCGTTGTTAGGCCAAGTTCAAGCGTAAACTAGTTGAGAACTCTTCAACGGCTGCTTTCACAGTGTGAAACAAATTCTTCCGAAACTGCAAGATGTTCGCATATAATATATGTAGATACTTGTAGTAACAGTTATTAGTATGTGTACAGAAATGTTTGTATGTATGTATAAAATGTGGAATGTTCTTTCTATCTAGCTTTACAATTGTAAATTTCAAAATATAAGCATCATGATAAATACCCTAATTTCTATGGTCTCTATCAAGAACACATACAGATCTGCACACTTAGTATGCAGCAAATTGTAATGATTCCAATTAATTTCGACATTAAATATGTGCCGGGGATTTTAAGATTATTTGTGGCAAACTAGTTAAGGATTCAGGAACATTAAGGGGAAATAA